CCAACCTGAGAGTGCACGCTTGAATCTCTACTAACAACCAGAAGAGAAGACATAGCAGGTGGCGATGAATCTGAAAGGACAAGAGTTCCAACAGAATAATATGCTGTTTCGACCTTCATGGAGAGATCCTCATTCGGAGTTCTACCAGCAAGAGATGCAGCTCCAAAACCAAGCCCAACACCGGCCCCCAATGGAGGAGATGGCCTAGTTGAAACCACTTTCAAACAGTTTGGAGTCTGGCGGTGATTGTTGAACCCACTGAAACTACTTCCACTTGAAGAGGTGGAGAGATACATCCTCCTACCATCTGACAACGCAGCAACAACGTGCAACCACTTCGATTCCAGCATGGACAATGGCGAAATGCTGACTATGGTTGGCTTGTTAGATCGACCTGCCGCTGTTGACTGTCGATTTCCTTGGCTCACATCCTTCTGGTTTAACAGATTCCTTTCTTCTGCAACCTTTTTTAGAGGGCCTTCCCCATTTGGCCCAAAAACATATGCTTGAAGTTTCATCTCTTCAGTGCGGGCATATAAAATTTGCCTTTCATTATCGACAACCATCTCTACAACAGGATCTACAGCTCCAAACTTGAATACATTTGGCACAACCCACCTACAACCGACAGAATTGGGGATATATGTTTTAAAAACGATCAATATGATATTGCAGAATTCTTTAGAGCATAAACAATTAGAGATGCGAATTGGATTTGCTAGAAGCTTGCTTTATCCCACATTCTGGAATCAAATAGCAGAGTGAACAGAACGGAAAGAACAAAAAACGACAAAGACAAGACGTGTACCTCGAGATCATACTACCTACGCCTGCAGTAAGGCATACTTTACGACACCGTTTATGCCAGCCTGAACCAGTTGTATATAGTAGCTCATATATGTGACCGTCACGTCCAGCCATGAAAATGCGCCCTTTATTAGTACATGTAACGCATGTCATTGTCACTCCATCTGATGATATTGTATAGTCAGGCAGAGGCTGTACTGAAATTTCAGCATAAGGATCTCTACCATCCGGTCCTTCAGTGCAGCAAACTCCAACAAGAACCAACTGATGAGAAGCAGAGTTTTTTACTCAGAAAAATTAGATACAAGTAACCAAAACTAAAGAAACATGTGATGAGATTACGCCTTTGAAAAGTTTCACCTCAACAGGAGTAGCCAGCACCAAAAGATATTGAATAGCTTCAACAAAAACTCCAGGTCTACATTTCGCTAGACCAACCGCACAAATAGCCTGCTCGTCCCCACTATACTCAGGACATTGCCCATCCCTACATTGACGATGCGTTTACTATCAAAACCAAAGCAACAGCTACGAAAACGAAGCATCTCAAGCTCTGAATTCCCCTGTAACTTAAAGAAGAAAGCCAAAATTACCTTTTGTCAAAACGCCACAGAAACAATGAATTGTCGACGGAAGCCCAAGCCCGTCGAATCTCTGGGAAAATTCCACATAAGGCCGTCCCTTCCCCACCTGCTGTGTTATATCTGTCAATAAGTACCGAAGGCAATTCCCAAGTCTCACCAACCTCGATTAACGGCGGCCACTGCATCAGAACCAAAACACCTATCAGACTAAGCTCAAGTTCCCAATCTTACAATGGCTCGGATTCGCCTAATCTTTTTTTACTAAGAATCGACAACCCAATTGCAACAATCGAAAGAAAGCTGAGCTAATTGCTTCGGAAACACAATATATACTGGATTCGAGACGTTCGTGAAGCTAACCTCTCTGGGATGAGTCGAATACGGGTGACTAGCGTATCTGGAAGCTTCGAGGGCCTCTTCTAGATCGAGCTGCGACGCGGCTTCTCGGCCAATGCGGTCACCAACGCAGAGTCCAGCGTTCGTCACATCCCGCATCACAATCTCCTCGTCTTGTGACATCTTGTTGGAAGAACAAACAACACCGGAACGAATCGGATTTTGAACGACAGAACCCTAGTGGACTACTGGGAGCGAGAAAACCAAAACCCTAGCTCGATTTTGGCTCCCTCGCAAAACCAAAAGAGCGGGAACAAGAAAGAGAAACGCTCGAAGTGTGTATTTTTGGTTCAAATTTCGGAGCGAAATATCCGATTGGAGAAGAAGAGAGGGAGAGAAGGCAAAAAAGTTGTCTGCAAACAAAGCCCACTGAAAAAAGAGGGTTTATACGGGGAAGGGTTTCTCGGGAAAATCAATCAGACTCGCCTTTCCTTTTCTCCGGTTATAACAGTCGGGTCGAACTTTGTTGTTTCCCGGGTCGGGTCTCAACTTTTTAAAATTCAACAATATATTATTTATTATTCGGACACAAATATTTCCCAACTAAATTTGGTAACTATCAAATTTTAGAAATGCGACTATTGTTTAACCTGACGGATATACGCAATCAATGCTGCTCACTCTTGAACAAAAAACAAATTAAACAACCGATGCTAAACAGAAAATGGATAGGTATTTGGTTGCGTATTACTTATGTATATTGTTTTGGTCAGAATTATTAAACCTGGAAATTGTAGAAAGGAATGAATGAAGGCGAAGAAGAATTGTTGAGCATAACAGAATATGCAGATATGAAAACAATATTTATTAGCAAAAGCAGGTGGGACATTCTACGAAGGATTAAAGTTCCAAAAAGCTTGATATTTGGCCTTAACAACATCTTAAATAAAATGTAAATAAATATAGATCAAGCAAATTAAGCTTCTGTACGGTTCAGTAGTCTTGAATGAGGCTTATGTACAATTCTCTTCTATTTTGAAGCTTCAATAAAATTCTCTTTCTGCAACAGTTTTAAGTTTATATATTTAATGTGTATTTCACTGATAAGGTTTTTTAGTTTATATATCTAATTGCTTTTCTTTTAGCCAATCGTATTTGAAACCCTATCAGTTTTAACTTGTACAAAAGCAAAACATAAACAAATCAATAATACTGCAAATATAAATTAAATTACAACATAATTTTTGAAAGTTCGCTTACCTCTTTTCAAACTAGTTTGAATGCATTTTTTTAGTCAGAGATTTATAACTTCTTTTGTGTACATTTGTTGGTCAAAATATTTTATAATCAACTGTTAAAAAGTTGACACAAATATCTTTTTCCAAAATACATACACAATACTATTCAAATTTGCATACTTGCATACTTATATTTAGTTAAAAAGTTGAAAGCTGTTTTTGTTTGGGTCAAAGATCTGAAGTTGTTTTTTTCCTGATTATGTATCTTAGATCAAAAGCTTACACACTTTTAGATTTTCATATTAGTAATGATAGAAGATATAGGACTTATCATAAGATTAATAGAATTATAACAATCGATAATATTTATATCTCAGCATTATTCATCATTCATCTGTGAAAAATACTACATTTTCTGCTTTATAAATTGTATCACATTGTTTAAAAAATTATTTTTATAACTTCATCATTCTTTTAATTGTAAAGGCTACCAAAATATGTTATCTCTTCAATGGAAAATGTTATGCAAGTTCTGGATAGATATAATCAAGATTTTTTCATTACAATATTTTCATACATTGCAAAAAAATTGGGGAAGTAGTCAATAACGATACATCTAAATTATATTTCCTTCATAAAATATATAATCAATAAAAAAAATATATAAAATACAGTGATCCAGAATCTAGATTCCTTTTGGAGGTTACTAAATATAAAAGGTGGTGATGGAGATTCTCTGGGGCAAACCATCCTCTTCTTGAAATTTTCGTCCAAATATGTGAAATGACCTATGGAGATTGTGTAGGACCTTAAGCACCATATGTCAAAATCTACAGAAGCTGTGATGAGAAAGTCGCTTCTTATTTGCTATCAAGAGGAAATTTGGGCAAGTATTAGGCTCTGCTCTTTAATAGCATTGATTTTGGAGTTTAACAAACTTCAATAAGTAAAGGGGATACATGATTGTATCTGTGGTGGCTCATACAATCTCAATCTCATGATGTTGTTTCTCATACAAAAATAAAATTAATCAATACCTATTTGCAACAAATTTGATATAAGTCTACTTCAATTTTCTTTTCATGTCTAGTTAACATACAATAGTATTTTATATACGCTTGAGAAGAAATTATAAGATCTGAAGAACTGTTATGAATTGTGATGATTTATATTGATAGCTATTACATTTATAAAGATGATATTTTCACAAAACAAAATGAGAATGGGTAATTCAATTTCAGTTTTTTTTTTTTTGAACTTTTGCTTCAATTTCAGTTTATATCCGCAAAGTTTCACAAAACTCTAAATTCTATCTAATGGTTATAACAATGAACAATTCGAATACTTGGAAATATCTAAATACTATATATTATAAATAATAAAAGCAAAAAATGTAAATAATGAGCAAAAATATTATATTAATTTAATTAGAATTTGAAATCATCAGTTGAATAATATTGTAGATCGTGGCTAGATTGAATCCTATTTAAACTCATGACTTAATAATATACCCCTAAGATAGCTTTTGTGGTTATATTATTAAGCCATGAGTTTAAATAGGATTCAATCTAGCCACGATCTACAATATTATAAACCGGTGTATGAAATTGATATGAACGGGCCATCTAATATATACATTTCATGCGAAATATTAAACTGGACTAAAAAAATCAATGCAAGAGCACCTTAGGTTCTCACAATGAATTGATTTGACTGATTTAAATTTTGGTTCTCCAACTTTTAACGAATAGACATAACAAATTGGATAAATAATAATTAGGTTGAAATTTTTGAATGAATAACAACACACATGAAGCTGCTGAGAAATTTACAAAAATAAAGTAACCAACTGTTATTAGTCTGAAAATTTCGACTGGATGGCAAATATAACATATCACACGACGAAGCTGATGAAAAAATTGTAAAGTGAAACCAATGTTCCACGTGGAATATTGTATATCTCCTTTCCATGGGCTATAGACACGCAGACTCAGAAGCATACGCAGGAAAAGAGCGATTGCGATCAGAACACGTCCTTGGAATGTGGGGCTTTACGCACGTGACGTCGTCCCTCCGTGTAAACATAAATGAGCCGCGTATGAATAACGACTTTTATTTATTTTTAAAAATATAGTTACATGATTAAAAATTTAAAGGATCGGCCGTTTTTCTATAAAAAGGAGGCAGAGACAACGCTTTTTTTTTTGTCTCATCTCAATCTTTCTCACTCACCCCATATCATAACTTTCATAATTCCTATCCACTCTTTTATTGCAACTCTCAAACAGTTTTGTAACTTCGGATCTTCCACACCGGCAAAACACTCGTGCGTCGTTTCTTCTTTCTTGTCCAGATTCATCTTCCGTTTTAGCCGTCCATACGAAACCGTGATCTTTCTTCTTTTATACAATCCCAAAATTTTGCATTCAGACTCTTCAAGGCCTCTGTTTTTTTTTCTTTCCGAAAATGGTGTGCGTGGTCTCTCGTACGGGTCGTCAGTTCCAAAGATACAACAAGGGACGTCGTCAAGTCGTCGGGTATGTACTGATCATATAAATCCACCAAGGTTTAGTTTGGTTTCCGTGTGATTCAAGTTTCTCAATTCGAAAATTTGTGTCACTTTTTTTGCAGGTGTATTCCGTATAGGCTTAAGATTTCGAGCGATGGCACAATTAGCGAAGAATTTGAAGTTTTGGTCATCTCATCACAGAAGGGTCACGCTCTGATGTTCCCAAAGGTACCAACTTTTTTACCCCCAACAAGAAGAAAGAAAGTAAAAACCTAAACTTTGTGTATTAGTCTTCTGGGTATTAACTGTTTTACTTTGTGATTTATTTGAATAATGTCAGGGTGGTTGGGAGCTAGATGAATCTGTAGAAGAAGCTGCTTCAAGAGAATCTTTGGAAGAAGCTGGAGTTATTGGAAACGTTGAGGTAAATCTGAAACTGATCACATGGTTTTGTTGTGGGTTTATTTTACTTTGGATCGATCTTCTAAATGAAAGCATGTGTGTTTTGATATTTGAGCAGAGACAACTTGGAAAATGGGATTTCTTGAGCAAAAGCAGAGGAACATTCTACGAAGGACTAATGTTCCCGATGCTTGTGAAAGAAGAGCTTGATATTTGGCCTGAACAGCATCTTAGGCAGAGAGTGTGGATGAAAGTAGGTGAAGCAAGAGAAGCTTGTAGAGATTGGTGGATGAAGGAAGCTTTAGATGTTTTGGTCCACAGGCTTTCTTCATCACCATCAACGAAGAAGCATGTGGAAGAAGACAAGAACATTTCGATGCTTTACTCTATCTGCTGAAAAGAAAACTAAGCTGACGTGCTCGCAATCACTTTTAGTCTGATCTTTGTAGATATTATCTTACGCCAGACAGAGCAACGGAATAATTGTAGATTCTATAGATTGTTGTAATAATGTTTGTGCAACTCCTTAGGATGGGAGGAAGAAGATAGAAAAGCAAAGAGTGCAAACAAAAAATTCTGTATAGTCACGTTTCCTCTCTTTGCATCTCTCCCCCTATCAGATTTGAGCCATTTCACAATGACTCTATAAAATATACATAAAATTAATATTGCTATACAATTTCTTTATTTCCCACCAAAAAACTATCTGAATTCTGAAGTATGTTTTTGCTACACAATTTCTTTATTTTTATCTTTAGATCAAAAAATAAATATATTTAGCCCTCAATCATAATGTTTAAATAAATTAAAAAAAAAAACATAAGGATTATGATAATAATAAGGCCAGACAAAAAAAAGGCTTTTTAGGCAAAAACCGACAGCTGTCTAGAAAGTGAGAAAGTATTTATAAAAAGTGCTATTTTTAGTTAAAAATAGAGGATATATCAACAAGTAATCGGTAATATTATGTTGGAACGATGTTTGGTGACATGAGGAACATGATCACTTGATTAGTGACGTCATTGATGATGGTGACCTATATTACACGTGACAAGCCAAGGGACACGATGAGTCATCCCCTTGAAATTTGGCTTTTTCAGCTTTGTACTTTTAGAAAACTTCCGTTCACATTTGAAATATGATAGAAACCTGATTTTTCCAACTACTTGAAAGTGTCATCAGCCAATAACATTGATTGGTATTTCTCACCTAAAACTTAATGAAAGCTAAGAAAGTGTAAAAATATATACAAGTCGTTGGGTTAACAGCGAGTTTATCATTATCAAATGTGGAATACTCGGATGTTCCACGTCTTCAATGTCATCCACTTTGTCGGTACAAAAGATAAAAAAATTCATCAACCGCTGGAAACACGCCATCCACAGATTCAAATCAATGTGAATGATCAACTTCTAAACATACGAAATTATTAAATTTGTCATTAGCACATAGCATTTGATTTTTTTGGAACAAAACAACATTCGACCGTTTGTGTGCGCATAGTTCTTTGTACCTTGCTCAGATGTAAAACAACTGAAACTCAAAACAAACTCGGGTTGCTCATAATCACGACCGAACCAAAATATAACTAGAGGAATTTGTTAAAAACTGTAATTTTGGTCATAATAGGGTTTGTCAAGATGATATCGCGTATTTACTAACAAAAAGACAAACATTTAAAAGAGCATTGGAAAGGAGTAAAAAAGATCATTATGAATTCATCTATTGGACCATTTAACAAAAATCAAGAGGTTGTTGAAGAACTATGAAAACTCGGGTTGCCATGGCCCGGCCCGAATGGCTAAATCATAAAATAACAACCAATCCAAACCTAATAACATAAAGCCTAATTAAGGCTGAAATTTATACATTTGAGCCCAATATAAGCCCAAGGTGGAAGCACACGTGTCACGTTATGTCGTCATTTCTATTCCTACTAAATTCACTTGAGACGACAAGCATTTGAACCGACTCGAACCAACCAAATTGAACTGAATCCAAACCGAACTGCACTTAACTGTTAAAAAATTTAACATTTTACGCTTCCAAGATTATTAAACGGTTATATAATGTTGAAGAATAAATAGTGAACGGTATATTATTATACATATCACCGACATTTGGGTCCAGAAAAGGTAGGCTAGCCAAATAAACTTTAATATAAATAAATAAATAAATAATCAAGTTATAATAATTGAAATATTTAATTTGAAGTAGACGATTTCAACCTCGCATTTACAATATCGACCAAACCAAATCAAAGACGTATATATAATGGCACACAAGTTGACTAGTTGAATAGTCATATCCTCGACCGGATAAGAATACAATCAACTTTCATAACAAGCCGCATATACATAAACAAACACGCAGAGAGGACTAAACCTCGTTTCTTATTACATTGACTTGTAATGAAAATGCATAAATACATAAATCTTAGCGGGTCATGCCGCCTTGGTAGACTGGAGCACCCATCGCCACACCTTGGTTCTGCTGCCTCTGTACGTTCCCGGCCCATCCTAAAACACCACATTATTTATTTTTTTATTAAGTGTTAATGTTTTGAGATGACAATAACGATTCTTGTAATTAGAAAAATGAAAAACAAAAATCGGTATAAATAGAATACATACCAAGACTCATATCGAAACCGCGGTGCTTGAGCTCACGGTATTGTTGGGTGAGAGCACAAAGCTCGCAGAAGACATGTTTAAGGCAATCTCCACAATCGCTACCTCTAATATTGTATTGAGCTCTCATCTTTCCACCATAGATACACGAGTAGATACATCCGCAACTCGTTACTGCAGTTATCAACGCGTACAGTGCTCCAGCCGTACCGCACGCTGAAATTTTCAAACCGCAGATTTTTGATCGCTATCGCTTTGCTTTCTCGACTCGTTAATTAAATGATACGATTCTGTCTTGTTATATAGCATATATAATAAGTGAACTTACAGGTGGATCCTTGATCTACAATCTCAGCGACTTGGCCAAATGTAATGCATGGACACCAGCATGTGATACAACCTGTTCATTCATTTTTCCAAGATTAATAATAAGTTTTTTTGTTGTTTATTCCCCATACAAAGTATCAAGTGATAAAGAAAATAGATAAATGTATCAACCGTAGATTTGTTCATTGATAACAACCATAAGATTACTTCTTTCTATTTTTTGATACGTACAAATAAATTAAAAATAAGAGGAGTTCAGTTTATTACAGTTTTTGCAGTCGGAGAAGCAATCACAGAAGCCTGTGGACCATTCTCCTTCAGCATGAGGCTTGGCATGAAGGTGTTGAGCTTCCATCGATCGATCGAGAGAGAGAAACTATTAGTATATTAAGCAGAAAGGAATAGTATGTGTTTAAGGTTGTATCAAACACGAAAAACGATGCTTGTATTTATAAGGACATTATTCCAATTAGTCAAGGACCTCAACTATTTTAATTTTCAAATCATAAAGGGAAGTTTCCTATCTTTGTTTTACCCTGAAAGTACTTAATATCTTCCTGACTTTTACCTATTCTTGTTAGGTTTTGTTTTTAAGGAATTTATTTTATTTTGTAATGGATGGTTGACACACATATATAACTCATTTCATCATTTTCACACAAAAGAAAACTTTATCTGTAACTTCTTCTAAATTACTCATTATATTTTGTTAAAAGATCTAAAAAAAATTTGTAAACAAACTATCAACAGTAATGGAGAAACTTCATTTGTTGTGGGAGAACTAGTGAAAGTTTGTGTAAAAGAAACAGTCCAAACAGTTATGAAGTAGACTATTAGAATTTGCAATACAAATATGTGATGACTTATAGAAGTACATTTTTAAAAAAATAGATTAAAATCAACAATAAATAATTCAACTCGACGATATCAATATTTTCTCTAAATTACAACCACGACCAAATCATATAGGAGATGTCTAATGGCACGCAAGTGACTATTCCCATTGCCATATCCTTGACCGAATACTTTTTAAAAAGATATTTTATATGATGTTTATATAATTCTTATTTCCAGGTCTCCGCCAATCATTTTGCAAACTAGTGTTCTAATTTTTCTATATATACTAAAATAGAAAACTCGTATTTTTTTTTTGTCAACAATAGAAAAAACTCGTACGTATATATAAACTCGCAACTATGCATTATTGATGAAAATCGAACGTGTACAGATAGATGTATGATTCAAAAGCTTTACAAATTCAGAAAACATTCACTGTTTTGTTCTAAATAATTCTCCCTTTTTTTGCTAAAGTTTAACCAATTTCACGACTTATCCTGTATCTTTTCCAATGCCCAAACATTAATATACTTCAATGAACAAATCAAACTATATAACTAGGACCGCTTTTTTGCCTTCGCTAAAATTCTAACAAAGTCACAACTGCATGACCAATTATTAAATAAATTTTATACAAGCAAACACAAGAGAGCCAAAAAACACAAAGACAAAGTCACAAACCCGAATAATGTCATTATTTCAAAGAAAATGAAAGATAAGTAATTCGCATATACATACGGCAATGTAATTTATCTCATCATGCCGCCCTCCACAACCGGAGCTCCCATCGCTACGCCGCCACTTTGACGTTCAACGTTTCCGTGCCATCCTTACAAGTTAGTTGGTACTTTTAATCACAGAGTTTTGGGTTCCACAAAGCAAAATAATACAGAAAAAAAAAATATTGAGGCTTTTAATTAAAGAATAATAAATAGATAGAATAATACCGAGGGGTACATCAAAACCGCGGTTGTGGAGCTCGCGATAGGCTTGCGTTAAGGCACAAAGCTCACAAAAGAAATGTTTGAGACAATCTCCACATTCGCTACCCTTAAGATTATATTGTCTTCTCATCTTGGTTCTGTAAAAGCACGAGTAAATGCATCCACAACCCGTGAGTGCCGCCAGTAAAACGTACAACGCACCGGTCGTACCGCATGCTGAAATTGTTTTTCAGTTAATTATTCGAACCAAACCGATTTAGGTTTCGTTCCGGTTAACAATTTGATATGAGATTAGAAAACTCACACGAGGAACCTCGGTCAACAATCTCGGCAATTTGGCCAAACGTAACGCAAGGACACCAAAATGTTATACAACCTGCAACAATTAAACCTCAATATTCATTATTTTTATTTTGTTTTCAGAAGATAATCAATTTTGGTCTCAAATATAGAAATTTGTAAACGAAAATTTTGACAAAGGTATAGCACAAAACTAATAAATCTATGTGAGATACTATGGATCGCGTATATATATATATATATATGTATTGATTTGTGCAGAATAAAACTTCGAGAATGTCTACAGGATTTGAAATTTATTGAAAAGTGAAAAGAATAATTTACAGTTGGAGCAATCCGAGAAGCAATCACAGAAACCGGTGGACCATTCGCCGTCAGCTTGAGGTTTGCCGTCATGCACACCTTGAACTTCCATCACTCGTCGCGCCCTGTTAATCTTACCCACCAAAGGATATAAAATTGAAAAAACTTGAGAGCTATTGTTATATACGCCTAGTGAGTAGTGATGATGATATCTATGAGGATGATATTATTTTCGGTTTTACTATGTAAGAAAACAAAAATGGTAAGAATACAAAAGGGGTATACACGTTGCCTTTCTCTACGTGCCTAATTCTGAGGCTTCTTTACGTGTTGAAACGATGTTTTAATCATTTCTGTAACATATAATCTACGGTATGCTTAAAATTTAGAGCATGTGTGATGTGTATATATGCGAAGTTAATCTTTTGAGGATACTGAAGGATACAATTCTTTCAAGTCTCAGGGACGTATAATACCAAGTTTTCACGGTTCGTGGACTGATCGTTTACATTTATAAATTTAAAAGTCGTTTCTTTCTCTCTTTGTTTTCTACAGCCAAAACGATCGTTTATATCAATTAGTTTATATAAATTCAAAATTAGATATATAAGTTTATGTGTATGGTGTGTGTTGTAGTATATCTCAAATCGAATTTCTATCTATTTGGTATTTTTCCCGTATAATTAAATATTTTGGATTGAGAAGAAAAAAAGAAAGTGTGAGTTGAGTGGTGAACGCACCATACGAATATGAAGGAAGTGGAGGTTTCAATCGGATAATTAAATGGCCAGCTGTAAGTATCACCGTCATTGTCAATCATTATTAAACATGGACCACATATTTACTAGCTCAGTGTTTTTTTTATGGGCATGCTTGGCAAAGGTTTTACTTTTACCAAACAACTATACTACAGTAAAATTATTTACAGTTTTTCATCAATTTAGCTTACAACAAAATCTTAAAAAAAATCCCTCCCAGACATGTTGACTGCGAGTGTGTTAGTGAAGTCGTCCTTGGCATTTTTCAGACTATATATAAAGGTTCCACAATTTGTTATGACGTGGAAAATCAGTGAAAATGTAGAATAAAATGATCAAATTCGTTTAGTGAGCCGCCATATAAATTTCAAATGAATCTTGGATCTGCCTGATAATGATGGGGCATTAGAGGCAGGCCCCATTTGTGAATAAAAGTATCCAACAAAACCCAAAAAAGAATCATCACTTATATTTGGCATCAAGCTGAAGAAAAAAAAAAAAGCCTTTGCTCCCATAAACTAAGTGTTGATGCTAATGGGCCTCAGAGTATTAATAGGCCTAATATGCATATTTTGGGCCCTGATGCTGTTATTATTCGTGGAATTCGAAATCGTTTCTGTATTGTCACCAAATCAATAATGAAATTGGCAAAATAATCGGAGAGGAAATTTGAGTAGAGAGAGAGAGAAAGAAGAACCACTAGAGAGAATCAGATAAGTGTATTGGAATTTTGGAAAGAGATGTGTCAAAATAATGGTAGTACAAAGTTTTATACCGCCACTCTACCACCAACTATGTACTACTACGTACACATTTCAATCTCTTATTGAATAGTTTTTTCTCCTTTTTAAAACATCGAAGCTTAAAAAATTAGGGGAATAGCCAAAGAAACAGTTGCTCGCTAGATCTCTAGTACTGTGGACCACGACCACGGTTTATGCGTTTACTTTGAATACAGAATACTTCATTGCATTTTTTGGGAGTTTTTGCATTGGCTTAACATGCTTTTTTCTCCACGAGACTTGTGCTCTATCTTAAACAGGTTCAGAGCCTGAAAGAACTCCGTTTTCAAAGTAGCAAAAACCTTATCGAATAAGGGGGAATGTATATATATGTCGTGGAGCTATACAAATAATACCAATCAAATCATGCATATACATATTATATAATATACTAAGTCGGCTACCTCCCCACTATATTGTATACACACTCTTTTTCCAAAAGTGGCATTTTAAGTGGACTTTTCTTCCTAACAAGTATAGTGTGGATCGATTGTTAAGTAGATCATGACATCATTTTTTCATTCCTATACATATAAATCTAGCATAAAACTGAAACGGCAGATTCTTTTTTTTCTATATATATATAATGCCAACAGTTTTTAATGTTTTTCGAAAGTTCTATTATCGAATCGGTAGTATCTTCTCTATGATCAAAGTAAGAATAAAAACCTCAATAATCCGAGTCCTATATGTTTGCGTCATAAATCCTAACCAACACCAAATTGAGTAAAATCAAAAGGTATCCACTACAAAAAAAACTTAAGACGCTAATATAATTTAAGTTGGAGATTTTTAGAAAAGAACGTTAATAATAATAACGCGTGCAGATATTTCTTTCTCGGATAATTCATTTAATATAGAGGCATAAACAATGAGGGTAGGCGAATCTCCACATATTCCATCCGTAATTTTGCTAAGTCCCGTCACCATAATATTCACCGCACGATTCTGTCGTGGTCGAGATTGCAACTGGTTGTGTCCATTCAAAGTCTCACTTGCGAGTTGCAAAACCCATAGTTTACTTTTATTATAAGCTATATAACAATTGTGTTTTATGCTCACGTGTTAAATATAACATCTAAATCTTTTATCAAATATATAAATTTCACACATGTATAACAAATACAAATGTATGCCATACCAATCATAGTTTAATTTTGTTTCTCTGATTGTAAACATCAATAAAAAGCTAAAAACACTTGTCTTTCGTTTATATATAAGGAAGAATCGGGATGAAAAATCTGAGGAGTAAATTCAAAACAGCCGATCAAATAAATATGAAAAAGTTGTGAATTGACGCTGTGCCCTCGACTCTTCTACCATCATGCTACGATTTGAAGTCTTTTAAATAACATTTGAAGCTGATAAAAGTACCATCCACAAAAAAAAAAGATCTCATTATTTACTTTAAAAACCTAAAAGTATGCGGTTTCTTTTAAGGTACGGCTAAGAGTTGAAACTACCAAGCCTTCATTTACACACAAGCGGCCATGAATAAAAATACACCAGACAAAATGATTAGTGGCAAATAATGTGATTATAATGAGCATTGTATGGGCAAACATGTAAAATCTCTCCACTCCTCAATGCCTACATAAACCCTCCAAATCTCTCTCATGTTAAACTCCCAAAACGGTAAAACAAATCAGGTTAAAAATATTTAAAATCATGGGGAGCCAGCTTTATACGACGGCGTTTCTCCTCCACTTAGCCACCTTACTCTTCATTTTCCGGACAATCTCAGCCGTCCGTTTCACACCGGGACCAACACCAACCAGCGACCTAGATTTCATCCGTACGAGCTGCAACGAAACGCTCTACCCAGACGTGTGTTTCACGTCACTATCTGGCTACGCCTCCGCCGTGCAAGATAATCCGGCGAGGCTTGCTAAACTCGCAATCGGCGTCTCCCTTTCCCGCGCAAAATCCACAGCGGCCTACCTCTCCAAACTGTCACGCGCCACCGCCTCGGCCTCCGCAGCCGTCCACGATTGCGTATCCAACGTGGGAGACGCCGTGGAGCAGATGCGTGGCTCACTCCAGCAGCTCCGAGAGATGAACCACCGTCGTCCCGGAGCTCCAACGTTTAGGTTTCAGATGAGTAACGTGCAGACGTGGATGAGCGCGGCGTTGACGGACGAGGAGACGTGTACCGATGGGATGACGGAGGAGATGGAAGACGGAGAGACGAAAACAGCAGTTTGCGAGAGAGTCGCCGACGTCAAGAGGTTCACGAGTAATGCGCTTGCTCTGGTTAACACGTACGCCAATAATGGAGCCTAGCACTAGGCCTTGATATGAAGTTATAAGTTCATGTATATAACTATAATATATGTAAGTGTGCTTAGTTTTATCTTTTTCTTTTTCAAGGCTCTGAAATCAAGTTTACTGAGTTGTAACTCTGAGTTTGTGTGTTCTAATTATACGTTCAGCTAAGCTTGTAACTGTATAAGTCATATATGTGTTTACATTTGTGTATTAAAAAATTACGAGAGATGGAGATCAACTATAGATGGTTTTGATGAAATGATTTGAATATTAGACATAGGTTCGAGTAGCTGGGGTTTGATGAATTTTGGTTACAATGGGAAATGATGAATTTGGCCATATCTTCGGGAATTGAAACCCGTGAGATGATTAGAACATCTGATTGTAACTTTTGACCCCTGAGTTTGTCTATTTGTGGCCCCACTTAAAATCTTTAGGAAAACAAGGTCTTGGCTTGTTTGTTCACGGACATGCCAATGTACAATTTCACAATGTGTGTGTGTTTTTTGGAATGAATGGTGCCGACTAATAGAAACCAGTTATACTTGTGAAAATTTCATGGAGTGATACATTTTTGTTTGCATTATACACATGCAACTAAATAAACTATTTTGCGGAAGATTTCACAACCGATAGCTTTAAACACAATATACTAATCCATGAACATTTTCACTAACACTGTCACATTGTTCACAATAACTTTTTACTTACATAAGACCACAACAAATGATTCTGTCAACATCGTACTAAATTTCTGATAAGTTTGGATATACATGGTAACTGAATGTTAGTTTTGGTGTAAAAATATAAGATTTCGAATCTTTTAATCAACCAATAGACCAAAAAGCTTGCACACTCCATTCAGAGTTCCTATTTTACAATCCAGTTTGACAGTATTAGTTACTACATCCATTTAAATTCACAAGTTCACAAATTTCTACTTGAATCCCCCATTGAAATTTTCAACTCCCGCGCGATTAATTCGTCTCCTAACTACAACATATAATTAGTGTACTTAAGGCTTAAAGATTATTTATTTCTTCTTACAAAATTAGACATTTGTCTAAAAGGAACGCCTGTTCAAAGTTCAAACTTCAGAGAGATCTAAATTTGACATAACATGACACACACCGGTAGACTGAGCTGCCGGTTCCGGCGCCGGCACAGCACCCTCTGAAACCGTCTCCGATTCTGTTATCGGTTTCTTCCGTGGTCGTCCACGTGGTCTTCCGGATCCACTGGTGATCTGTTCCTTGGGCTGAATCGATGGATCTCTCGGCTTAGGCGGACGACCGCGAGATCTAGGCGGATCTGCGGGGACGGTAGAAGCAGGGGAATCCGCCAGAGTTTTCTCCTTCGGAGGACGGCCGCGACCACGCTTGGGCGGAGGATCTGAACCTGGTTTCATGTAATTGTTTCTGACCAAGAGAAGCTGACCGGAATTTTTCATCCGTTTGAGATGGTAGTTGATCAGCGTCGATTGAGAAGGCGGCATGATTTGCTGAGTTGACTCGATGTGCTTTTCGATCCTCGTTCTGTTGCAGCCGTACTTATCGTTTATGGACTCAATTGCTTCCATAATCAACTAAACGCAAAACGCATGATAACCCATCGAGTCAAATTAAAATTCAGAACATAGTTTGAAAACCTGAAGAGGGGTTTGAAAGATTTTACCCGAGGATATGGCGGGAGAGAAAACCACGGCTGTTCAGGCCGACTCCTTGATTCTGATGAATGCTGATTCGTCGTTGAGCCATGGTGAAGATTGACCGCCATGTGAAAGCGTAAACTCGCAGAGAGAGAGAGAGAGAGAGAAGTGTGGCTTGATGAGGATGAAGGAGAGAATCAGGGTTCGGAGGGTTTTTAAAAAGCGATTGGGAAAGTGGTTTTCCTCATCATCATCATATACGGGTCGAATGTTCAATAAGAAAAATCGATTAAGTCGATGAGTTTCATTGGACGATTAGGGTTTTCGATCATAAGGACAGATCGAACGGCTGTGAATGTATATACATACACTTTTTATCCTGCAGGATTACTGACGTGGACAAAAGTTCTTCTGACCTTTTAACGAAAGACGGAATGACCCCTGAATTTCGGTTTTACTTACTCCTTTGAGACAACAATTGCGTAATTGGCCAAATAATTTGATGTTTACGTCTCGTTCGAAATCCCACGTGGCTTAGTCTAAATGGATACTACTATACTACCACCACAAAAAACGACAGATAGACTACCACATCATACAAAGCAAAATCGCATTCAAAAATTATTTCTTTCTTTCTCTACCAAAGAGAGAACAATTTTACATTTATATACTCACTCCAAGTCTTTTTCTCTACAGGAGTTTATATAACTCAAAAATAACATAACCAATCAGCGTTAACGCTCTCTAGAAACCTAGAAGGAACCACATTTTTCTGCAGAACACATAGGCCCATGATCATGAATGTAGGCAGTAAAGACTCACCGATCGAGCTAGAGTCATCCTTGAAATTAAAAAGTTTAGATGTTTACCTAAAAAAAGATATTTGTTTATATATATACTAGTATAAAAATCTGTAATATACTATAATTTATACATTTCATTAAAGTTCACAAAAATGAATAATAGTGTAGTTTTCAAAATATAATCTCTTTAAAAAATATGTTTTCAAATTTTCTCAAAAAAATATTTGTTTATATATATAGTAGTCTATAATTTTATGGAAAAGTTGTGAAAAAATTAAACAAGTTCTTATCTGATTGATACCTCTTTTGAAACAAGAAACTAGAAATTCTTATTTATCCAAAAAAGATAATTGTCTATTATACTAGTATAAAAACTTAAAATCGCATAAGGAAAATGTATGTTTTTAAAGTGTATAATATTATTAATTTAAATTTTTTAATAAAATGTAAAATAATATTCAAACGAAACATTGGCAAATGTATTTCTTTACTTAATTTTGAAACACATATATAATTGTGTGTTTGGTGATGATGATGAAGTTTCAGTTTCAGGGAACTCCATTTGAGAATCAAAACCATTCTACTTCAACAAAATCCTTGAAGAAAAATGTATGTTTTTTAAACATATAACATTGATGATTTAATTTTTTTTTTTGATAAAACGTAGAATAATATTCAAACGAAACATTGACGAAGGTAATTCTTTACTTAATTTTGAAACACATATATGATTATGTGTTCGGTAATGATGATGAAGTTTCAGTTTCAGGAGACTCGATTTAAGAATCAAAGCCATTCCACTTCAACAAAATCCCAGAAGGAAAATATATGTTCTTTAAGTATATGATATTGATGATTTGGTAATGCAGAATATTATTGAAACAAAACATTATTGACCATACAATTGTTTTTGTTTAAGAATCGTAGGCCATTGGTTAAAATTCTTACTGATATCATCCGATTTCAAGCCCTTGTGCAAGGTTTGGTCAGAAGAAGACACACCATGGCTAAATCTGAGACCAAGAAGAGATATCATGAAGCAGAAGCTGAAAAAAGAAACAACAAAATGAGATATAAAGAAACAATTGAAACTACTCAATGAAGAATTTCCAGAAGGAAGTCAAAGACGAGTTGATAAAATGTCATCAGCTGAGGTGGCAGCTGAGTTGGCAAATAAAGAATTATAAATATATTTGGAGAGATTGTTTCTTCTCTTTATCCAGAAAATTACAATGTATATAGAATTTGCTTATCTGCATTCTCCTGATCGTGTGTGATTAGTGATCAGGTCGTGTGTGACCGGATTTACTCTGTAATTCGAAAGACAATTCCATTCAATACAATTGTTTTCTCTTTCTCTTGAGTGTTTACGATAGCTAAATCCTATCATAGAACCTCGTCAGGTCGGCGCAAATGGGAATGTGACGGTTGGAATTGATGATAAGCAAGTTAGGCTTCTTTGAGTTGTTGATAAAAGCAATGAAGGCTTGAGAGGAACTACTTACCAGAATTAGCATGTGGGCTATGGCTGCCACTATCCACTTTTGCTGATGAAGCTAAGCAATTACCCATCTCAGATAGAAAGAAATAACCTAATTCGGAGAGCTAAAATCAGCTTCAAACTCTCAGGCAGACGAAGCTCGTGTTCTTGTTGAACAACGAAACCAGATGATCAGGACAAGGAAACCGGATAAACCTATACCTATTTGAATGTAGCAGAGACAACTATCTAAAAGTAAAACCAAACACACAGTTCGTATTAAAAATAAATAAAGTTTTACTTATCTCCTCCTTGGACTAGTTTTTTTGTTTCCTGATTGTTTGACAGGTTGGAGACTTTTAAGTGTTTGTGAGTTCATTACATGTGTGTAGGTAAGATGAAGTTAGTTCTCTGTGTGGTCTCTCTTCTTATTGTATATCTCTTTTGATTGTATCAAGAGAAGTGTGTCTTATGGACACTTACGAATGGGTCACGGGAGGTTAATCTTCCCGTTGAGGAGGTCCCTACCGAGTTTCCTGAACCAGCTTCAGGCATCAACTTTGCAAGCGACGGCATGCCGGAAAAAGACTGGATTCCTTTGGTTGCAGTTCACAGTGATTCATGGCTTATCTCTGTTGCATTCTACTTTGGTAAAAATGAGACGTAAGATCCCTTTTTCTGGTCACTGATCGGTGTTAATTTAGCTTTCACACATGTTTGGGAAAAGCTACAGTGACCATTATGATAGCTGCAATAGTAACAATCTCTACTACACCCCTGCAAAGTCTGAGCACATCGAACATTACAAATGCCCAAGTTGCAGTACCAGCAAGAAAATCAAAGCTTGAAGGTGATAACATTAGGGACTGTGAAAGAGGAGAAAGTTTTCACAGTTGAACAAAACGACAGAACAATGGTTTTAGCTGAGAGAAGAAGAAGAAGCACAAGTCTTCTAATTGTGTAGTAGTCTTAACGGGATTGAGTCGCTTACAGTTAGTAATGTCACTCTCGTTCGTTTTTTTCCTCTCCACTTTTCATTTTGATTTTACTTTTTGCTGTTAATGTCAAAATGCTGCGACTAATTTTTCTTTATGTGTCTTAAGGAAATTCTGCCTGTAATCACTCTCTTAAGTGTATGTCAACTAGTTTCTTTTTGCTTGTATCAAACTCATTTTACAAGTATGGTTCCTTTTAATCTCATCGACCCAAATAACCTCATAGGAACATTACATTCAAAATCACAAGGCAATAATAAAGCGATCACAAGAGGCCAGTGCCGCCGAAAGGGTTGCTATTATATTGCTGATGAGCACCAGCGTTAACCGGGAATTCCCCAAAACCGGTGGCCTTTTCCGGTTCTGAAACTGCAACTACTGGAAATTCTCCAAAACCGGTGGTCTTTTGCGGTTCTGAAACCGCAACTACGGGAAATTCCTCAAAACCGGTGGACTTTTGCGGTTCTGAAACCGCGATTACTGGGAATTCCTCAAAATCACCAAAAGGATTCGCAACGCTTGGAGCAGCCTGAAGCAGCGGCTGCTGATAGGTTGTTGGCTGGAAGGGGCCGAATGGGTTGGTTTCAGCTGAAGACGGTGGAACGCTGTCAGGCAACGCAAACGGGTCTTGGACCTCAAAGGGATTGGGAGCTGGAGCGCCGTAAGCTGGCTGTTGAGCGGCCCCATCGTCATATAAGCCGTTCAGGGTGAGCGTGTCTAAGCCACCCGCCTTGCATTTGTTGCAGACGACAAAAAAAAAATGGTCACAACTAAGAAGCCACAACATTCATCTTACAAGCCCCAAGCTAGGCATTTTGTTAACAGGATTATGGCAAATAATTGAATGCATGCCAGTATTATCAATAACACAAGAATGCCATCTTACCAATTGCCTCTCCGTGGCTGAGGATTTATCTTCGCTAGTTGTTGTAACCAAGGCAAGCTCCCATCCTAACGCATCCAAATCTCTTGCTTGACCAAAACCAAACATCGAAGAATCATCTGGAAAAAGAAACAGAATCAGATATGCGACCAAAGACAAACAAGAAAGGTAAATTTAGCGCTCCAGTACGTGGTCTAAGAAGCCCACCTTCAGTAGAAACTAACGCTAAAGCAAGTGCATTTTGGTCCAGGATTTCTAATGGATCAGGATCATTATTGTTCAGACCCTGAGTAACAGGGAAAGAAATCAGCGGGCAGAAGAATGGCATGGACAGAAATAATCGAAAAACCAGATCATTTGTGACAATCATGTTTACCAAAAGATCATCTGTATCAATGATATTCTGTGGAGTTTCTGCTGAAGCAGGAGGTTGGGGAGAAGGTTGTGTCTCCTCCGAGGGAGCAACAGTACCATCTGAAGGCAATGATGGTTCATGTTCACCAGAAAGCCCATCATCTGGCCTATACGTCAGAAGCTGTATGGTGACAAAGTTTTTTAGAAAATAACCTACAAAAGAAACAATCATGGTTTCTGTAGGACCATATATGTGTCAATACATACCAGTGGCCCAGATGAGACGTCAACCATTTGAGGTGCATCTCTCATATACTCCTCCATAGTCGTAAGAAAAGTTTGCGGAGGCTTGAAAAAACAAAAATACAGTTATATCGTCACAAAAAATAAGTTACCTGCCATTAGAAATTTAAACAACTTCTTATCTGATTGATACCTCTCTTAAAACAGGAAACTGAAAATTCCTTGCAAGTTCTAATCCTTTACATACTTCATAGAAAGCAGAAAGGTTGCCAGCCTGCATCGATAGACTAACCCTCGTTAAGTGAAACCTAAATGACAGAGAAAATCACGCAACAACTTTACCTGCACACCCGCGCGCTTGTATATTCCAAGGGCCTTGGTGGCCTCATGTCTTGGCATTTCAAAGAACTGCAACATATGCACATATGAGACAGGGAAACACATGAAGGGAGAGAGTAACTCTGGGGAAAAAAGCAAAAAATTGGGCCGACCTTTTCAACAAGATTGATAATTCCTTCATTGATGGCACAATACACTTTAAAGCTCTCCTTCAACACCTGAAAACACAATTCTCGAAACATCTCAGAAATTAACTCCAGTTGTTCATTCCGGATAGAAAATATTTGATACGGCACAAAGACACATGCCCGGGTTTAGTCTAACGTACCAGAGCGAGTGCATACTGTATGATATGATTGCTTTTAGCAGAACCTTCAGGCTGAAAAAAGTCGAAATAGCAAAATCAGTTCATTCGTCAAAGAAAGCTGCTCCAACACAATCTCACAATGGAAAATGGTATGGGATATACAGAATAATAGTGCACAATTCAAGAGATGACATCAAAAAAGCACCTTACAACCAATGAGACGATGCAGAAGCTGCTGTAAAGATGGTAGCTGATCCAAGAGCTTTTCAGAATCTAGATCCCTTGTTTTGCTATACCCCTAGCAATTTATTTCCAAAATCGAATGCCATCTCAGAGAGGAAAGGAGATACGCGAGGCCAACAAAACCAATTAAACGCAAAAATTTGATACCTTCTCCTGCCCTGGGGACACTTTAGGAAGACGTTCAGCCTCAATGTCGTATTTCAGAACTCTGAAGCATTCAAGCCGTTCCTCGATGAATAATGCATAGGCGCGTACCCACGCTGAACAATCCCAGGCTGCGAGAGGCAGAAAGCAAATATCCAATCAGCGTTAACTCTCTCCAAAAGGAACCACATTTTGATGCACAACACATAGGCCATGATCATGAATGTGTAAGTACTCACCGGTCGAGCTAGAGTCATCCTTGAAATTAGAAAGCTGCAGGAAGCGTCCTTTCTTGGAAAAATTCAATAGCTCCTCTCTAAATGTGGGATCGCCCTCCCTCAGAAGCCGGTGTAGAACAAGCAGTGATTTTAGAGCAACCTGTTGAAGCAAGCAATACACACACATGAAACGAGTAACGAAATATTTGAGGAACACAATCATCGCTATGCATAGACCATCATCCAGCATCAATTTCAAACAACGCCTGACGACATAATTGATCTGATAACACACATAATCGAATGACTAGAACCGTTTTCTTATTTCTCTAAAAAAGTTGAGATCACAAGGTGAATCAATACCGTCCAATTTCTGGTTTTATGCAATCGCCTGGAGAGAGTGTGAATGCAGTAAGCAACATCTGCTCGAGGCCGAGTTGCTGATGTTGCAACGAAAATCTCTGTAACAGTTCCCCGAAGAAGAGAAGGAAACAATCAACAAATAAGATCTAAGAATTCATCAGACGTGAAAAAAAATAAGAGAATCAAAATGGAAACAATCACTTACTCCTGAGATGCCGGTCTTTGGGAGGACACTCGACATGGTTAGTAGCTTTGACTATGGCAACATCTATAGCCTGAAATTATGCAAATCACCCAAAGACCAAAACCCGAAATCTGGTGAGAGATTTTACTTCCGGTGACTGAAGAGATCATAACAAATTCGATCGAAATGCTGAATAGTATTGAAAACACAATCGAAAAGCGCGTACGGCGTAATCGCTGTTGACTCGGACGAGGCCGACTTTGGTGGTGTCTTTTAGGGCTCCATAAGCTCTTCGCAATGCCATCGGATACAAAGTTCAGATCTCTCTCTCTCTCTCTCGAATCTTCTCAGATGTTCTTCTTTATCCCGAGAGAACCTCTGAGAAAAATCTCATGGCACAGAGAGTGAGGAAACAAGGAGCAAAACAAGGGAAAAGATCGGATTCGTCACATGTTATATTTTTTTCCTTATTCGACTATTATAATTGTTTTCGAGAAACTGCGAAATCTTGGATTTTACTATCGTTCCATTTATTTTCTGATCCTTTTTTTTTTTGTTCTTCTTCTTCAAACTGTCTGTCTTCTGATTCTCTTATACTACACTCTTTTCTGCGTCGTTTTGTATCTCTATTCGAATTGATAATGTTTATGATTATTCATTTTTCGTCCTTGACGTATCAGTTTATGACTTTCAGAAAAATTGATTCTTAATTAATTTAGACGCAAAGGAAGACTAACAAGACTCGACTTTGAATCGAATTGTCCCCCTCTCTATTTTTAGATGGTCAGAAATTCATCATTCATAAAGCACATGACTACGTCTCCATGACTTATATACTAAAATTGTAGAATTTGTGGATTTAACTTTGTTTTTATTTTGCAAATATTATTGTAGCTTTAAACTAACCGAAGTAATCTTATCAAAACGTTAACACCATAAATCTTATCGATGCTATACAATTGTGCTGATATTTTCCACCAAATGTTTCTTATTCGGTATGTATCGTAATAGCTTCTTAAACAACATTGTACCATATATCTTTTCATTAATTTTTTTTCCAACCTGCAGATTTACGTTGCTTAGTACAAAAAAAAAATGGTTTCCAACGCATGTTCACGCCTATTAAAGTAGACAAAATTTTTTACTGTTAAAATTTGTGAGTTTTAATCCGTGGTAATCAATTCATACGTTTTGTGGAAGTTATTAAACAATATCGTAGCATTTCATTGATTTTTTAAATTTACTTCACTATATCAATTTATTTATTCCGGTATTTGTACTCGTTAAACAGCGATCATATATCATGATCAATACCAAAAAAAAAGTACAATGAAAGTGGGGTGTCTTTTTCAAAAGCAAAAGTTTCTTTTATGGGGTACTTAAAGAAGTCGTGGAAAAGCTATCGCCACCAAAACTGGTGGGGGACAGAAACATAGTCATATGTGCAGTGCAGCTCTCGTTATATTAATTAATACTCCCATTGACATTTTCGATTGGTTGATTCAATATTAGTCTGTTGACAAAAAGGAAAAGATTCAATATTAATTTATTCTTCGTTTTCTTGTTAGTTAGTATAAGATAACATAGCCGAGTGGATGTAGATGTCAACATATTCTCCTCCTAGTCTCCTACGTTAATTGATTGGGTTGTTATATAGTCACACAGAATGGTTGTTTGAAATTAGGCAAACTCGTAGATAACCATTACCAAATCAGTGCAAGTGTGTTGTCACTTGTCACCATATTCTTTTCCTACGTTTGTTTAGATATAATATATAGTGGGCCAAGATTAGTCCAATGGGTCGTCTGCAACCAACGAGCCCATCAAGCTCTAAATGCTTTTGATCCCAACTCTGCTAGTTTGCACTTCATCTTCAATGTCTGAAGCAGAAATCTTTGAGACTCTAAGATGAAGATAAGAACCGGGTTGATTCCAGACGATGAAGAAAAACTGTGGTTTAATGATACCATCACCCATACCCGCCCCAAGTGGGTAGGTAATGTAGAGGTGCCCAGGCCCAGGGCCCATCTCAAACGATGACAATTGTGACTGGTTATAACCTCTTTCCTTTCTTATCCGCATGCATGATCCATCTTTGAACGAACAACATGCATGAAACGTAAAACGACTTATACTTGTATTGTACTCGGAGATATGTATTAGTTTTTTGGTTAATGACATATGAAGTATTTTTTTAAATTCATTAAACAACAAATAGGTTTAGGGAAAAGGATAAAATAATAGGTTTAGGAATGGTTAAGGATGAAACCCACGTCGTTGGAAGAAAGGGGGAGTACGTACATACGTACTTGCATAAGCATGCGGTTGTTTCTATGTAATTAAATGGTTGAGTGGGATAAAAACAAGGGCAATTCGTTCCTATTCATCACGTGATCAGCCGCCGACGAAAGCAAAATGTTCTTTCTTCTCTTTCCCTCCTCCCCTGCAATGTGTACTTGCATCGAGAAGATATATAACATTAATACTATTATCAAGAGTATTTTACCGCGCTACGATACAATAGTTTACTCGTTAATATGCATTTATTTGTGCGTTATAATATATTAGTATTATAATTTAAATGTTCAACATAAATCGTAAGTCGTAACAAAATAAATCGAAATAGATTTTAAATGAAAAAACTTAAACTGAATCAAACGAAATTGCAAAGTTAACTGACTAGTGTAATTATCTTTTTTTTTTACATTAAAATGAAATAAAAAAAACTAATATGGGTATATTGCCATTTCACAAGCTAGCTTGCCATTAGAGCCGTAATTCTAAAATCTGACATCATGATGCAAGTGTGAACTTCACATGGGCATGGGCAGAGTACATATGGTCGAAGTCTGTAGAGAGATTCATGATTATCTGGTAAATATCAGAAATAACAATAAAAACGAAGCGAGAGTATCTGTGGTATTCGATGTAGGGACACGTGCGTATGGGTCTCACACCATTTATGTTTTTATATTCTCCCACCCCAAGGACATCGCACGACTCCTTGTGTCAGTCCATTTTCCAGATTTGCCGGCTCTGTATCAAACTGTACTGTTATCTTTTAATTTTAAAATGTAACTAATTATCTGCCTAACGTCTTCAATTCATCTGTAGTCTCTCATCCAACGCATCAGTAAATTACGAAACCATAAAAAGCGTATCCAAAAACTATGTTCACAAATCATAATGTTAGAAGAATTAGAGTTTAGGTGTGGTGTGGATGGATGCCCAAATCTTCCTCTCTCTACACTGTTCAGTAATTTTTTTTTACTTGTCTCGTGAGCCTAAAACTAAAATCTAAGTTAATGCGAATTTCATCACATGTATCGTTATTTAATAATTTCAGCGTATCAAAAGATTAATTGAGCAGGGGTAACTAATTGATACTATCATGTTTTATTTTGCTACCCGGATTATTCGTTTGGTCATTTCATTATTTCTGGTTATTTTTGTGTGTGTAAAATATAAAAAAACACACGAGTTAATTAAGAACTTCAGAATCTTGGCTATTTTATACTTTCTCCGTTTTATATTGTATGATGTTTTGGGTTTTTTATTTTGTTTCACAAAGATTAATTTTCTATATTATATTTAATATATTTCTGTTTTCAAGATAACTTTTTAAATAAAAAGTATAAAAAATTAGTATTAAATTAATAAATAAACAAAAAATATTTAAAAAAAATAAATAATCATTGTTTTCTTAATATCTGTGAAACATCTAAAACATCATACATTCTGGAGAAAGTGAAAGATAAGAAATCTTCCGATCTAAAAATAAAACATAAGTATTATTTAATATACAAAAGTATTATCATCTCTTCAAAAATTACTATAATTTGAGAAAATAGTGAAAGGGTTTTATAGTTTTACACATTTACAAAATGTTGCCTCAAAAAAGAAAAAATATAATTACAAAATGTTTGGGATGTGTTTTTTTTATCGTTAAGCTGAATGACACTGGTAGGAGAGCCACGTGGATGGACCACGATTAACCGTACGCTTCACTTACAGGATCGAGGCGATTGTAACAGCAGAAACGCTAACTTTCATGCTTGGGCGACATGTTTGTAATGTCCAGGCTGTCTTTAACTTCATTTAACCACACGACTTAACTGGTTCTTACTCCTCACGCGCCTACTCACAAAAGTTATTTATTAAAGGGTGATTTTACGAATAAATGGAATTATGGAAGCCTCTGATTCATCTACAGACTCTTCCATCAGCCCATTCCGACTTTATCCTCTTATACTTTATAAAAAAAATTACATTATCCTTCATTTTCCTAAATAGGCTAAACCTAACCAAATCTTTTTCTGAAATGTATGTACTTTCTTTGTTCCTAGATAACTACTTATTAATTAGCTTTGCAACTAAATGTTAACCAGTGGAGGAAAGGAGAAAATGAGTGATTATGATTTTGATATTCATGCAAATGCAAATTTGTAGAATGCCCTAAACATCTATGAGTGGCATGCAATTCACATTATTTGGTCCAACACTTTCGTGTTGGTGTATTTATGATTACATGTACCGCGTATGTATCGTGGGTTCTTATACTTCTGATTTTCAATAAAATCGCACACTAAATTTTCATGACATGACAGCGCATTTTCATCTATTGTCTTCTACTATGAATAAAAGAAAGGAATCAATGAGTGCACACCCTTTTTTTTATGGTTAACTAATCTTTTTGTTAAAGGGCTTTATGGTTAACTAATCGGCAAGAACACTTGATTGCATTCCATTAAAGTTTTTACTAATCAGCAAGAACATTTTAATGGAATGCTTAAAAAAAAAGGATACATGATTTTTCTTCGGAGAATCGAAGATTTCGGTAAGTATTTTTTGGAGATATAATTTTTCCGATGTTTTTCGGCATAGAATGCATAGATTTTTTTTTTCAGCTACTACGACCAATGAGTTCTAGATTACTGTTGTTAAAAGCAGTGTCTTTTGAAAGCTACGTATTGATTGAGCATATTTTTCGTCGCCAAATTCATACAGTAATATGCATTGCAAAAAAAAATCCATGTGAAGTAGCAAAAGTAAACAAATAAACTCAATATGAAAAGTTGAGAAAATGTTCATGGATTCTAACAATCTATAGCGCTTATATGTCTATATATACTCTTTCGAAAAGATCTTCAATAAACAAAAACAAAATCATTAGAATTTTTTTTTTTTTGAGAAAATGACGTAACCGAACCTTTTTTTTTTTCTGGTCGAACATGTAAACTAACCATTGAGCGGATGGTCCATACGACGGCCGTCAATGGTGAGAATGGTCTCGGGACCTACCGAATCAAAGACAGGACACGTGTAAGAATCACATGGATTGTAGGGACCACTGTCCCAATGAGGTACGGTTAGTTCGTGAATGCTATTCGCGTCAATGGCATGTGGGACCCACTTACACGTGGAGCGATCACATGCTACCAGCTCCGATTTTCCCGATATTAAACGCTTTATCTACAAAATGCAAATTTCTTCGACTACTGGTTTTATAAAAATTGAACCAAAAATCTTACGGAGCGTATAAAAATTTGACAAAAAGGATGGAATTGCTTAAATTACCGGATTTATTTAAGATTAAAGTAAACAATATGATATTTGCAAAATACATATGCTGTTTACTTTTTCTACCCCCTACCTCGAAACATGGCTACATTATTACACAAAGGAAGCTAGGCACTACTAAAACAGTATAATGAACTCAGTTCAGCTTTCAAATGTGTTTTTAATTATGCGTCTTGGAAAGCTTCTTCAGTTCTTCATCAAAAAGAACCAATATAAAGTCTCCTGTATTTTTTAAAGAATTTTCTTTCTAATGCTAGAAACATTTTTCTTTTGAATTTTCTTAAGAAACTTTACGGGAAAAAGTAAACTGAAGTTAACAAATTTTTGGACAAAGAATAAATTTGACATTTTTTTCCCAAGTTTTATATCTGAAGAAGGTTTTCTTACATTTTTAATAATGATGTTTGTTTTTTCTTAATACATGAGTAGATGTTTTTATTTCTACTGCTACATTTTTTTTTAATAATGGGTTGGTTTCTTTTCAATACAAAAAGTTCACTTATTTTAATAAGTAATAGAAATGATTAAAATCAAATATAGTAATATATCGGTATTTACATACTTTATTGTATAAAGATTGTACTAGTATTATAGATAAAAAAGATACAATCATAGAAACCCAACACACCAAAACTATTAAAAAGCGGCATAAAGTAAAATGTAGCACTAATCGTATGACAATCTCTGTAGTTGTCAATGTTGTATGGACCATCCAAACTCTAAAGTTTTTAACTTCTATTACTTCTATATGATTTAGCACAAGAGCAAAAAACACATTGTTGCAATGCCAAAAAGAAAAGAGAAACTGTATATAGTTATAATACTACTAATTTTGGTGTGTGTTTTCATCCTTATCTCTTTGAGCTGTAGATGTTGCTGTTAGCCCTCTGATCCATGATTCATCGGACATCGAGCCCACATCACGAGCCTTTTTCTTTTTCCTTCTCAATAATTATTATTTTTTTAATATATTTTAAAGTATGTTTTTTTGGTGACCTCTCTCTCTCTTTTCACAATTTCTTTGTTGTGATAATAGGAAGTGGTAGTAGCATCACCCAATACCAAAGATTCTTCAACCTCAAACAGAAAAAAAGCATACCTAGATCCGACATTGAAGGAAGGTTTTTCAGATCGATCTGAGTAACCCAAAAAAACATCATGAAGAGAGATCAAAGTCATCTTATTCAGGGAGACAAGACGATGAAGGAAGAAGACGACTGTAACGGCATGGATGAGCTTTTGGCCGTGCTTGGTTACAAGGTGCAGTCGTCGGAAATGGCGGAGGTTGCTCAGAAGCTTGAGCAGCTTGAAGTGATGATGTCAAACGTTCGGGAAGACGATCTTTCTCAGCTCGCGACGGAGACCGTACACTACAACCCATCGGAGCTTTACACGTGGCTTGACTCGATGCTCTCCGATCTTAATCCCCCGTCCTCTGCTGCCGAGTACGACCTCAAAGCTATCCCCGGTGACGCGATTATGAATCAATTCGCGGCCGATTCGTCTTCTTCGTCGAACCAAGGCGGGGATACGAATGCCAACAAGCGGTTAAAATGCTCGAGCTCTGATTCCATGGTTGTTTCCTCATCTACGGTGGCGGGTCAGAGAAACGGCGTTGCTGGCACGACGGTGACCACCACAACGGACGACTCAACTCGGCCTTTAGTCCTGGTGGACTCGCAGGAGAACGGTGTGCGTCTTGTCCACGCGCTTCTGGCCTGCGCCGAGGCCGTACAAAAGAACGATCTAGCTGTTGCGGAAGCTCTGGTGAAGCAAATCGGATTCTTAGCTGTATCTCAAATCGGCGCAATGAGAAAAGTAGCTACCTATTTCGCCGAAGCTCTGGCGCGGCGGATCTACCGTCTCCGTCCGTCGCGGAGTCCGATCGACCACTCTCTCTCCGACACTCTCCAGATGCACTTCTACGAGACCTGTCCTTACCTCAAATTCGCACACTTTACGGCGAATCAAGCGATCCTCGAAGCTTTCCAAGGTAAGGAAAGGGTTCACGTCATCGATTTCTCCATGAATCAGGGTCTACAATGGCCGGCGCTTATGCAAGCCCTCGCGGTTAGACCTGGTGGACCTCCGATTTTCCGGCTAACCGGAATCGGTCCTCCGGCACCGGATAATTTCGATTACCTCCACGAGGTTGGGTGTAAATTGGCTCATCTAGCGGAGGCGATTCACGTGGAGTTCGAGTACAGAGGATTCGTCGCAAACACTTTAGCCGATCTTGACGCGTCGATGCTTGAGCTTAGACCAAGTGAGATCGAATCTGTTGCGGTTAACTCTGTTTTTGAGCTTCATAAGCTCTTGGGACGACCCGGCGCGATCGAGAAAGTACTTGGAGTGGTGAATCGCATTAAACCGGACATTTTCACTGTGGTGGAGCAGGAATCAAACCATAATAGTCCGGTTTTCTTAGACCGGTTTACCGAGTCGCTGCATTATTACTCGACATTGTTTGACTCGTTGGAAGGAGTCCCGAGTAGCCAAGACAAGGTTATGTCGGAGGTTTACTTGGGTAAACAGATTTGCAACGTTGTGGCTTGTGATGGGCTCGACCGCGTTGAGCGTCACGAAACGCTGAGTCAGTGGAAAAAACGGTTCGGTTCTGCTGGGTTTTCGGCGGCACATATCGGTTCTAATGCGTTCAAGCAAGCGAGCATGCTCTTGGCCCTGTTCAACGGCGGAGAGGGTTATCGGGTGGAGGAGAGCGACGGCTGTCTGATGTTGGCTTGGCACACTCGGCCGCTCATAGCCACTTCAGCTTGGAAGCTTTCCACCAATCAGATGGTGTCTCACTGAGTCGACACGATTGATCTTTTGACCGGTTTATTACAGATGTTTCGACCGTACCGGAATGAATACAAACCGTTTTGCCTTTGTCACACCTGTTTAAATTTAAATGTTATTAGGTCAGTTATAATCTCGCTTTCGAGATGGACCCTTTTTTTTTCATGTGACACTGGAAGGTAAATTGGATAGGCAGATATAGAATTTTGTAGTTACCAAGTATTTATGTAGTTGGTGGAAATAAAATTATGTTATTGTCATCGCTCATCATCATATGAATTCATTGTAATGAGCTGGTTAATTTGTCTCTCATATAATAACGATCTAATACTCATAAATACACTCTTTTAGTGTGCTGAATGTTGTAGGCGTGCCAGATTATTCTAATAATGTGCTAAGTCGTTTTCAATCGTTTTTGGGGGTTAACTTTCTAAAAGAGAAGTACTAAATAGAAAGCGAAAGAGTTACTTTTTTGGGATGATATAATACTTATCTTCCAACTTACAAAATTCAATATTTATTAAAAAAAGGAAATGTAGATTTTCATTGTAAAATCAAAATTTGGTTTAGGAATTTGTATACGAGATTAAAAAAAAACATTCGACAGAGGTGGTCGTACAACTTCACTCTCGTGACCCGTTGGTATATAGTTCAGTGAATGTGACATTTGATCTTTTATGAAGTATTATCTACCTATTTCTATTTCTGAGTTTCTTAAAATGCACAATCGAAACAAAAAACAAGCAAATTCTAATTAAACTAAAGACATACAAAAGCAAATATAAATCATGGGTTCTAACATCATTGAAAAACTATTCCATCTATTGCAGATATCCTTGACACCTGATTATAGACTTTTTTCACGAAATAGGTTTTCTAGGTTGTTATTTTTTAGAAGAGTGTCGAATAAACTAGCACTGATATTTACCAAAACAGAAGCTATTGCACTTTTCTCATAAGAAGGCAAAATATGTTTTTGTTTGAGATGAAATTCAGTAATATTGACAGAGATGATACAGAACATATGCATACAAGACCATAACAACATTAAATCATCAAATACAGAGATGATACATAACATAAGCACACAAGACAAGACCGCCATTATTATGAGCATATATAATAGTATGTAATAAGGAAGAGGAGGATGATAAAGCACGTAGGAGACATACACAAAAGACGTACATGCATGAAGATAAATATACGATGATGGTGGGTATTTAAGCTTTGTTTTTAACAAAAATAAAATAAAAATTAAGCTTTGTTCTGGCCCTTGAGGTTCGAGGGAGTCTTCGTTTTTCTTCTCCCATATCAGAGTTACTTTGCAGACGCAGCCTTCCTTGGACCTGAAATGAACTGGAAGACGACGTCATAGACCTTGTACAGATCATTTCAGCATGCAATCAACAATTTTATAAGCATTTCAACATGCAATCATCACCTCTCCGAACGTAGGAGGTAGGAAGAGACTCGAAGCATTTAAACATGCAATGCAATCAACACTTTTGTAAGCAACAGGCTAAAGGCGTTTGAGTGAAGGTTTAGGCTTGATAAGTATTAATGTCACTATAACAGATTAATAACTGGATAAATAATCATTCACCTGGATAAATGCCAATAAAAGGGAAGAAGGAAACCTGGGCGAGAGAGACGGGCGTGATATATTTATTTATATGAAGATCATCGACGACGTCATAGTTATTTCGGTGCAGCACGCGTGTGGTCTGCGTGTCGTCATGTCCATCTATTCCTCACTTATAGATTCTTCGCACCTCTTTCGCATCTCTTTGCGTTTTCATCATCGATTTCGGAATTCTTTTGTTCAAAGATGAGAATTATGTTGTATTCAATTCTTATGATGATTATTTAGTATTCAGTTCTTACTTTATAATTTTTTATGAGAATTCGAGACTACAATACATGGTTTTTTCTCTTTAGTTACTTAGTTATGAAAAATACTGCTTGGACCAACATAAAATCTCCAAAGGCAGAACATGACTATAAGAAATTGGGATTTGACAGGATTGAAAGTTTCCAAAAGACCGATAATACACAAGCATACAAGACCGCCATTATTAAAGCATAAACTGTACAAAGAAAAGGAACTAGGCGGATGATTATGTGCGAGACAAACACAAAAGACACATGTTTTAAACCTTATTCTGGTTCTTGAGAATGTGGTCGTCCATGTCAGCAGCAAGGCTCTTGGCGAACTTCATGTAGTTGATAGGCTCTGGAGAGTCTTCGTAGCGCTTCTCCCACATCATAGTGACTTTGCAGACGCAGCCGTGCTCAGTCTTGGGGATGAACTGGAAGATGACGTCATGCACCTTAAGCTGCTCCATCACGTGACCCTCCAGCCCTCTAAACGTCACCGCCATCTTGTCGTCGTCAAACTCTCTCTTCTCCTTGTACACCTCTTGCTTCCCATCTTCATACACACAATCATATAGCATTAACAGAAACCTTAGACAGTTACATATATATATATAGAGAGACAGAGTAAAGTGGGGACCGCATGTGTAGTTCCAGGACTTGATGGCGCCGTACGAGTCCCAGTCGCCTTCGTTGACCGTGACACCTTGGATGTGATGGCCGACGGCGTCCGGGAAGAGGTGGTTTTCGCTTCTCCACCTCTTATAATGGTTCTTCGCCGACCCTTTCAGAGGAACCTCTGCCACGTATGTTCCTGACATAGCCATGATGAAGCTTTTAAAAAACTTTTGTTTACGTTTCTTTTATGTCTGTTGCGTTTTTTTTATGGATGCAAAAATGATAGTGTCTCCCTTTTTATATTCACATAAAGTACTCATCACAACGTTAGAAGAAATCAGATATATCTACGATTTTTTTTAACGGATAATCAAGTATATAAAAACTAAAATAATGTTTTACTGTACTAGATAAGTTCTGATTAAATATTGTTTGTCTTTTTAGTTAGAGAAAACGTAACGTTAGAGAACATTAAGAACAAAAAAGACCTGGACGAAAGAGACGGACAAGAAAGGTAGGTGGAAGTTCGACGGTTTAGGGTTTTTAATGCTCCTCAAACGTCATTGTGGTATATTGGTGATCCACACCTGTGGTCAATGTGTCATTATCTCCACTCCTTAATTAAATTTTTATGCAATCCTTTTAACCTTCTCAATAAATATTGTGTTATTTAATTATTGGTTTCAGGAATTTTAAAAGTTAATATTAATTGACAATACAACGAGTGATTTAAATTAAACTTATAAACAAGACTAAATTTGTTTTCGCTATTTACGCATATATATATTTTTTTTATTTCTCACAATATTTAGATAGATAGAGTTACTTTTTATTTGAAAACATACAACAACATGTAAATTGCTGATAGAAGGAAGTATTAATTAGATTAATATCATGCACGAAAGAAAACACAAATTAAAGACACACCATAAACAAATAAGGATGTGATGATGATCAAGCTATATAGCGTCCATCATTCCTGGTCTTGGAGGATGTGGTCGTCCATGTCAGCAACCATCTTCTCGACGAACTTCATGTACTTGATGGGATCGGGAGAGTCTTCGTTGCGCTTCTCCCACACCATACTGACTTTGCAGACGCAGCCTTCCTCAGACTCGGGGATGAACTGGAAGGTTGTAACATACACCTTTAGCTCCTCCATCACGTGACCCTCGAGCCCATTGATCGTCACCGCCATCTTTTCGTCGTCCATCTCTATCCTCTCCTTGAACATTTCCTCCTTCCCATCTTCACCACACACATTCAACAAATAATTTTTATTTATTTATTAATGTTTTCGGTATGTTTCGTCCACTCCGACTCTATCTAATAGCGTAACCATTCAAATCCTATATATAGAGAAAAAGAGTAAAGATACGAACCACGAGTGTAGTTCCAGATTTTAATGGTGCCGTGACCGTGAGAGTCCCAATCGCCATCGTGGACGTTGACTCCTTGGATGTGATGGCCGATGGCGTCCGGGAAGCGGTTAGTCTCGTTCCTCCATCTCTTGTAGTGTTTCTCTGCCGTTCCCTTCAGAGTAACAACCGTCACGTATGTTCCCGACATCGCCATTGATGAATCAACTAGCTTTTGATTGTTTTCTTTACTACTTTTGTTTATTTTGTCTTTGATGTATATATAACACTTTGGTCTCGCCCTTCCTTTTTATATACACAAAACTCAACACCAATAATTGCTTGCTGCGAAATTCTTTTATTTAAATATCACATCCAGTATCTTCATGTCGCTTAACAATCTTATAGAATAAGATGCCAGCCATTTGCTGACTCACACAAACCTTCCAGAAATAGATAGGTCAACTGTGTAATGATAAATCGATCGTTGAAGTACTAGTTTTAAATTTTTTTAAAAGCTGATAATGTTGAATGTTCTTTCCCTTTATAGGGTACTCGCTAATATAGAATATAACTCGTGGAAGCTGGAACGGGATGGAGACACGGGCGTTACAACCTTTACCTAATTGTTCAAAGTCCGGACGAATCTCTCGGGAATTACGTTTACACTTGCTCGGGAATATATAGAGTGACGGCTTGTTAAGCTTGTTCTTCACTTAAATTTTCTTTAGTAGCATTGGATTTAATTTGCATTGAATACAAAAAAAAAAAGAAGTCGGATAGTTTAAAGTTCAAAGTTAATTTAACTAAGTCCTTTTATATATACTAAGTTAAATAATAGAGGGATTATCTGGATATTGAAACTCATTGAAGAACATTTCACATAGACTTCGGATACTAATAATGGCAGAAGTAATCAGATTGCTAAATCACCAAGAAACTCTTTAGAATCCTTTATCCTTCATTGTAAAAGAAGAATTCTTCATTGCCTAATTTCGTGTAAATAGAATTCTTCCCAGAATATATAAATCTTCCTTTACAATGAAGAAATTAAAACACTTTATTTTATAACCAACGGCAACCATATAATAAACACAGCATTAATGTTCGCATATTGCGGGTGTAAAGCGTAAAAATAACCCACTTCAAATTTTGAGGTTTTCATTTGTTAAAAAAAGAACCCAAATACATCAAATTTAAGGAAACAAAATAAAACAAAAGCCCAATCGGAAAGGCCCAAATTCTTAAAAATTCCGGTTTAGTACATGTCCAAGATGGTTAAGGCTTAACCACGGCGAATCCACCATCAACGGCGAGGTTTTGACCACTCACGTAAGCAGAGTCATCAGAGGCGAGAAACAGAGCAGCTTCCGCCACGTGTCGAGCCTTGAGCACAACACCTTTCAGATTTGCCGATAAGCTGAAGATCTCCTCTAACTTACTCGCCTCCATCTCGGAACCGTCGCATAACATAGGCGTCGCGATCCCAAACGGCGCGACTCCGTTGACTCTGATCCCATGTTTCCCCAATTCACCAGCGGCCGATCTGAGCAGACCCAAGAGCGCGTGCTTCGACGCCGTGTACCCGTGCTGCGCCTTTCCCACGATCTCCGTCACAACGCTTGTGGTGCACACAATTGAGCCGCGTGTCCCTCTCTCCACCATGGCGCGTGCCGTGTGCTTTATGAACGCCGCCGCGCCGCGGAGGTTGATGGCCATGACTCTGTCGAGCTCTTCGAGGCTGAGGTCGAGGATGCTAGCTTGCTTCTGCTCTACTATGCCGGCGTTGCTGAACAGAACGTCGATCCTGCCGTGTTTCTCGACTGTGAACTTAACGGTGTTTTCGACGTCAGTCTCGTTTCTGACATCGCAGTGGTAGTAGCTGGCTTTGTCTTCCCCAATCGAAATGACGACGTCTTGTCCGAGTTTATCTTGCACGTCTGCGATGACCACTCGAGCGCCGTGTTCCGCGAACAGCTTCGCGGATTCCGCGCCTATCCCGCTCGCTCCGCCTGTTATTATTACGATTTTGCCCTCCAATCTGCTCATGTAAGTAAATTATGATCTGAATTAGTAAAAAAGTTAAAAGTAAACTATATATATATGACTGACTCTATCTTTATGTTTATATGGTTGATTGATGCGAGAGATGAAGAATTTGCCTGCGTTCTGACGACATTTTTGAGACACTGCAAATTCAAAAGGATGACTATAACATGAAAACATTTGGATCCACTTTATGCGTGATTTGCTCTACAGATAACTGTGTATAATGTATATGCACATGGCCAGTTCAGTTGCCTATTCTTAATTCATTTTTTTTTCCTAACACTAGACAGATAATAATTCACATAATCATAAGAAGACTTTGGCTTTGTTACAAAACAATATTTGTTGACGGCTTTTGCTTTGGAAACGTAGAGAAACACACAACATATATACTTGATACATACGATACAATAACATGCGGTTATTGGTCTTCATCGGTTTGCCAAAAAATTGGTTACTTTTCTTTTCCGTAATACTATGAATTACTATACTACTATATATGACAATGCGACATTAAATGAAATTGAAGAAGATGGGCAACAAAAGTTTGTTAGCCTATATAAAGTGGCAAATAGATAGAAAAAAAACCCTTCATCCTTTCCACACCACTGAAACTCAAAAACACACACATTCCAAAGCCATATATATCCAAAAACCTCAAAACCTCAAACAATAAGAAGATTTTATATTCTTCCACAAGAAGCCAGCGTGGAAAGTTAGAGCGCATGGACTACAACAAAGACATAATCCCACCTCTTCTTCTCTATAGCACCAACTACACAACTTCTCACACTCTTGCACATTGTACTAGAACCCTAACTCATACGGTCATACCCTTATATGTACTTTGTGTCACTAGATAATGCTGCTCTGTCTGTAAATATAAATATCAATGTGTAAATGATATTTGATTTGCTTGGATCAATACGTTTCAGGCGATAGTAACGATAGCAGAAATGATGAGCAGATCATAACCGAATCCTCAGGGGAACCCAAAGAGCGGGAAAAATACAAGCAGTCGCGGTGGAATCCGACGCCTGAGCAGATGATGGCGCTTGAAGAGGTTTACAGCAGCGTAACGCGGACGCCGACGACCCAACAAATCCAAGAGATTGCATCTAAGCTCCAAAAGTATGGGAGAATTGAGGGAAAGAACGTTTTCTACTGGTTCCAAAACCATAAGTCAAGGGATCGACTTAAACGACGCCGTCCTGATCAACAAGGAGTTGATGATATGAATAACGACGTTCATGAAGAACCACTACGTAAGGACAACGTCGTTATAGCTACGGGAAACACGGATTCATCATCATCAGGTAATCTCAGTTTGAACCTTTGAGTATCATTCAAATAATATTATTTTGAGGTTTTCGAATAACAGTGAACTAGTCCATACCATATCCATTGTTAGTGCTGAGAAAAAGAAGCGATCACCGAGTTATTCACACAAAGACTTGCTTCTCTTCTTTGCCCACACACCAACAGGTAATTTATAATAGACTTTTTTTTATTGCCTAAAAATGCTATATATATATTTATATAGACATACTTTGTTTACAAACATTTTTTTTTTTTTTTTTTTTGTTAAAGGGCCTTCATTACCTTGTTTACAAACATTGGCATTTTATTATTATTATTTTGGTATATTATACAAATGTGGATGGAAGAGAAGCAAAGAACAATCAGAAAGGGCAAGGAAAGCTTTCTTTCATGTTATGTTGGGAATAATAAGGAAAAAGTATCACTTTCTCATAAACATGTGATCTATTTGCTTTATTATTTTATTTATTAAAGAATGTCAATAGTTTTAACCTTTTATCTGCGTTTTTCTCTTTTCTCATCAGAACAATGATGGGAGGAGGGAAGAGTATGAGAGGGGACTGGGGGAAAAAGAAGAAGAAGTCAAGTGGCAAAATCAGATAGACCCAATTAACGCTTCAGACAGTAACAGTAACTACCATGTGATAATTACTTCGAAAAGTTGGCAAGAAGCAGAGCACCAATACAATCTGAATGAAGAAGAGGAGGAAACAAGAAAAAGCCGAACGCTAAATCTCTTCCCAGTTATAGAGAACCAAGAGAAAACCGATGCAACCAGTTTTGCAGATAAGAACCCAAAACCAAACCTGTTGTGCTGTAACTACTATTATTATTACGAGTTCATGCCTCTGTTAAACTGAAGCCAATGCCCATGTGGGTAATAAAGAGGGTCGGTTGGATTTATTTAATGAAGGTATTGTTGCTTTGTGGGAAAATGGGTTAAGTGATGCGTTTGAAGAAAAGCGTGAAAGAGAGAAAAGAAGGTTGTAGATGGAGACGTGTAGTAAATGTTGGGTACATTATTACCGGAATGTGAAGTCTTGAGCATGTTATAAGGTTTCGAACTGAGACTATGTGTCTTGAAAGCTTCGATGTTTCATTGTCTGTGTAAGGAATATATTTAAGTTTTAGATGTGTGCGTTTAGAGTTATTAAATGGGGGTTTCTTGTTCAACAGGCTGTCTTTTTCTTCTTCTGCAGTTTATCTGCGACTCTGTGGGAGATGACATTTGAATTTGAATTAGATACACTAAAGTTTTTTCCACTGGATCAGCAAAAACCTTTTAGAGGGATTAATAGGAGATCAATATCGTAATCTTGGATGAAGTAAAACAGAGGAGCTTAATATAGGCTTGGCCATCCCTTTTTGCTGGTCAAAAGAAGCTAAAGATTTCAAACAATGTGTTAATAGAGAATACAAAAGGATTCACCAAACTTACTTTTATTCATATGCATTTAAAGGCACATGTGCTTAGTAAAGCAAACAAGAGATGTGCAATGAAATTAATTTCTGGAAGTAGTAGTGGATTTCATCACTGAGTGTCTGCAATGAACGCATCAAGTGATTTCACCAGTATAAATTATACAAACGAGAAAGGACCAAGTGTCTTTACCTTGAAAAGCAGCGAAGCAAATAGACACTAACCAAATTTTACGGAACACACATTCACTTGGATGAACCATAATATAAGAGTGTCTTTAAAAGCTATTTTAAAGAGTTTATAAAAGATAAAACAAAAGGAACCGATCAATGTACAAAACTTTTTGGGCAGCTTTCTTATCCCCTAACCCCAACACTACACACTGAATGTACACAAAACGCAAGCGCTTCAATCTGGTGGGACCTAATCTCAGTTCCTCATTTTAGACACATCAACTTCAATGTGTCAGAAATCTCACCCATGAAGAATGCTTGGGAAGGCCCTCCAAGCGCAGGCTAGTCCTCTCTCTCTATTGCTCCTTTTGAATGCGGATGTAGCCAAATAATTGAAAGAATTACCATACAATGAAATTAAATAATGGACCAGATTCCAGAATCTCTGGCAACAATGTGTCAGGTGGTTGCTGTAGTTTTGTTCCTGCGGCACATACAGTCAGGGCAAGGGAATATGTATATGGAGTCACTAGGTCGTTTCAGCTCAAACCCTTTGGAGTCGCTATGAGACCTCATGCTTAGCATTTGATGTTTAAAACTTCTCCATCTGCCGGTGAAATCAGAAAGAATCATTGAGGTAACAACCAGAAATGATAAACCAAGGCATGTATTCAGGTGGAAGAGGTTAAGCTTCGTTACCGCAACTTGGGATTGTCGAAGAGTACGGCTAACTTTCGCTTGTCAGGCCGAATCGTCTTTGAATGGCCTCCAAACAAATATCTCCGATGCCCCATGAGGAAATGAGGGAAGTTTCCTCCTTGTGTTGTCACAAAGACCTCACTGTGGAGACACACTGTGTAATCTAGTGCAGCCATTCTCGAGGAGAAGTTCTGAACATAGGCACATAAATATTCATCACGTGGTATGAGCAAAACAATAGAAGATTATGGAAACCACAAGGCAGACCTTAAAAGGAGCCAGTTCTTCCTCAGACGCAAGCATCTCCTTTGTCTGTAGATTAGGGAACATCTCGAGTAGTGGAGCCATCGTTCTATTCGCACTATATATCGGGCCAGAAGCCAGGTATATATATGTGCTTTTGTTGAAGCCCATTCCTCTAAGCATCAAACCCACCTGATATAGGTGTACAAGGAAGAACATTGAACCAACAGAAACAAGTTAGTCTACTCACATCATTGCTCAAAAGGGTTTGCACTTTTGCACCACTACTCTGATAATTCCACTGCAGTATATGAATGAATATAATACAAATACATTCTCGCAATGTTTATGCTTACCTCTAAAGGAGTTAAAGGGCATTTCCCGTTGAGCCTTATAGCTCCTGGTCGTATCACGCGGCCCGGCTTTGTGAACTTCCCTTTCCATCCCCGTTCTCTCGCCGCAATCATGTCTTGTTTCTCTTGGTCGCCACCATCAAATACACAACAAGAGAAAGCTACCATGTCCTGCAAACAAGTTCTTATGGCGTATTAAATCTTTAACCTCAGACACAGAGCTACTATCAGCATATATACATCAATGATATAGTGAAGCGTTTCTTCTTCACAGGTAACAAACCTCTTCAAAACGAAGATGCACAGAAACGTACTTCCCGGCGTTGTTTGCACTAAGCTCCTTCATTTTCTTCACCAGTGTTTCTCCTTGGGTCAGTATGGGTTTCGCAAATCGCAAAGCTACATTATTCGCCAAACATCTAAATCTCTGGACAGCTCTAGGAGCATCAAACGAAAGTCTATTTGCAAATGGGGAAATTCTTATAACCCTGTGCCATGAAAAGACAACATATACTTCAAAAACCTGTGTCCTAAACCAGAATCAAAGATCCCTTACACAAGAAAAAAAAACTTTAATAAGTGAAGAACATGCTGTGACTCACTTTTCTTCGAGTAGCTTTGGCAGGATTGAGTCCCGGTAATAGTGAGTTGGTGCCCATGCTTTCACTCTGAAGTTGTAGACATTTGTTAAGTTATAGTCAAAACGCTCCATTAAGTATTCAGGAACTGTATCGACCACTCGCACATCATTTTCTAAGGTAGTGACAAAGTATTCTTCATCATAGATGTCCCCAAATTTACTGCAAGGAAAGCCCTTTGTCAGAAAGTAGTTGCAAAAGGGATGGCTTTGCTGAATATACAACACTAAGAGAATCTAGGGAAAAACAAATATCCGAAACCTCGGATCTTTCCATATGCTGTGATAGTGAAAGTTGGGAATTACAAGGGTCGCATTAAGGTAGCCCGCCACAGCAACCGCATTGCATATCTAAGCAAAAACATGGTAGAGACAAGTCAGCAACTTTACCCTGGACAAGGTCGCCAGACACAGGCAAGAAGGATAGAGTGAAACGAATCTACTGTAAGATGAAAAGATAGATAAGCCTACCGAAGTCCGCTGCTGATTCAAGCCTCCATTTGCCTCAATGAATATGAAACCATTCGACTCAGGTAAAACTACAATTGTCAACAAACACACACAAAAAAGAAAAAAAAGTCCATTTATTATACTACCCAAGGCCATGTAGTTTTTTTCTGACATGGAAAGCAAACTTGTTAAGAAACTACGGAAGCTATGCAATACCTCCATTAGACTTGTTCACGCATGGCTTCCACTCCACACCTTTATAGGAACGTTTCCAAATTGTTGATATCTAAAATGAAACCAATTGCATCGTCGATACATGAGAAATGATAGCAAAGTATCTTATATGTTAGTTACGTGGCAATTGCTAGCTATATAGAGAAGACAACAGCATCAGTGGCCGATCAGCCACAGAAACAAAGTAGGCACAATACATTTCCCTAAACATTGTACTCTTATTGGATCAATCGGATTGATTCAATCCTAAATCTCAAGGGCAAACGCCATTAGAGCTGAAACAAGATGACACGTTATGGTGAAGGGTTCGAGATTAACAAAGAATTGGAATAGTTCAGCCACAAGCACCGAATACGACCAAGCAAAAAAGCAAGAAAATGTTCAACATTCCGATAAATGATAGAAGGAAATCAGTAGGAGACGGTGCGCAACAATGCCTGCATTCTCACTCAAATGGGTTTTTGTAAAAGCGGGAAAAACGGAGGCAAACCTCACCGCATCAGCCGTGGTATTATCGGCGTCAATCTCCGCGCGCAGCTTAGCGTAGACCTGAGGGCTTCTGTAGACGGATCCCGGCGCGGGACGGCGATTGATGATGGGTCCCGCATCGAACGACGCCGCGCGCATGTGAAACAGCATACAGGAGATGTAGATGAGAGGAGCGAAGAGCAGAATTCCCTGACGCCGGAGAAGAACCGATAGGAGGATCCAAGAGGTGCGGTGGGCGAAAGACCGACTGTGCTGTACGGAGGATTTCGACCGGCTCCGGCAGAGACGAGGTGACGTCGGCGGGGAGGGAGAAGTGTGGCCGCTTCCAGGGAGCCGATTTTGAATCGACGGATCTGGCTCCACCTGGGAAATCATGGTTTCCCTCCTCCTCCGTCAAGGCGTTACGCCATGATGATAATACATCCTTGCATTGCAACAATGGCAGGTGGCAAAACGCCGATTTGCACAGATGAATCCCGGCGGAGAAACTATGAAGTTGAGAGAAATATTGTGTGTTCTTTTTAATGTTTCCTGTACACTCGTGCGATGGAAGCCTGATTGATCACATATTTTCTCATATTTATTGGATTCTGGTGTGTGTTTTAAGTTCTATGAATCTTTTTCTTTCTCCGCTTCTTTCATTTCCTTTTAATGGAAAACTCTTGAAATCAAGTCATCGGTTCCTGCTTATGGTCATTTGTAGGCAATTATCCAAAATTAGACTCGAGAGCTTTCCAATTATATATACAAAATAGTCAATTTTCAAAAGCTAAAAACCTGGTGCTAAATCTCGACCTGATTCAATTGAGTACGCGAAAACAAGTCGACGCTGAAGAAGAAATCAGGCGGGTCAAATGAGCTTTATGTCTATGGCATTGATCAAGAATACGCAGAATTAACGAAACTCAGCAGCCAATTGCAGACGCAAAACATAACCAGATTAAGGAAAAAGACATGAATCCTTATGATTGATGCACATTTGGAGCAATTGGCAGGGGAATAAGATAGTCCACAAAGGTAAAATTTCAATGATAAACGACATAATAGTCCAACCACATAAAAAAGACAACTAACTTATAAATTGGCTTCTTTCGTTTTCCATTACACAAACGCCAACAACAGCGCCCATAGCTGAGTTTGCCAACTTAGCCATTTCAATCCTCGTGCAACGTCCCCAAGACGTCCTCGTCCCGGAACAGATGGTACCTGCAGTGTCCATCACAACAAACAAGAGTTACGTACATGGGTCGAATTCTACCTTTGTAAAATCTAACAAGTTTTATTTATACACAAGAATCAATATAGAGAACTGAAATTGGCAATCTTTTCCACCGAGCAAAAGCTTTATCAATCGGACATTCAATTCCTTGGGAGAGATTACAGAAATTCCAAATTATTCACAATTCTACAGGCAAGTTCCCTAGTCTTCCATATTATAGTTATCTGATAATGAGCTATTCAAGTGTCTTCAGACATTTATCACATATACTCTCTCTCCGAGGAAGCATCTACAATGGAAATCAAAGAAGGAAGCGGGTTTCACTTACTCGTTCTCGCCGAGCTTGACCTGTGTACCGCCGTACTCTGGAAGAAGAACGGTATCGCCTTCCTTGACAGAGACCGGAATCAATTTCCCGTCCTTGTCCCTTGAACCAGGTCCCACTGCTATCACCTTGCCCGAGTTCAGCTGTAATCAACCGGAAATGCTCTTTATTCAGATCTTACGAGGCCAAAATAAGGAGATCAAATCGTAAATTAAAGACTCTGTACCTTCGAGGCTCTCTCTGGAAGGAGGATGCCGCTTTCGGTTTTCGCAGGCTGGACGACTCTCTGCACGAGAATACGGTTGAAAGTTGGGATCAGACGCTTCATCATTTCTTCCTAAGCAAGCTCAATTCTCTTCTCTCGGATCAGTGAGGATTCTAGGGTTTTCTGAGTTTTTAATTTGGGTACAGACGGAAGACGGAAGGTTCTAGATGGTAGGGTTTAGAGGGGCAGAAATGGGCCAAGGGTTTAGGGACTCATTCGCACATTTTTGGGCCTATAGTTTCTAATGGGTTTGGCTATTGTAAGTTCCCTTGTATCTCTTGGAGGTCCACTTTGCTAAGGAAAATATCTTACTACAGACCTCCAGGATGAGGTCAGTAGCGAAGTTCTTTACATTGCTATATCAACTTTGATACAAATTAAAATTAGGAGGAGAGGTGAATACAAAAATGAGCTAATTATGGAGTTGCTTGAACCGTTTGAGTAGTAGTAGTAGCTGTAGCTTGGTGTATGCATCTCTTGATACGAGCTCAAGGACGACCCTCGTTGTCTTGCTTTGAAAAACAAATTAAGGTCTGATCCTATGTGTTTATCACATTGTGCGCTTACAAATCATGCAGACATGTTTTAAAATATCTTAGTGGGTTTATACAATCGGCGTACAAAATGAGGAAAAAAAGAGTAAAGAACAACTCGGCTAAGTTCCAGAAACCCGAGTTCGACTATGCAAGGACGCCTCTAGCCATTTCCATCGAGTTGGCCTTGAGAAAGAAGGTGAGCCATGTATTGCTGCATTCACAACCAAACAACTTTAACATTTGGTTTCGTATTCAAGAAATAACCACCACATGATTCTACAAACATTTCTTCTATCAACATATGGCACACAACCACAAAGTCAGCCTAGACCTAGTATTTATGGAAACTGACTGCAAAACACACAAATATCACCCACACCATTGAGAGACTGAAGAAACTTACCGAGTGGTAAACGTATGGAGATTTGCCCTGGCGCTCAAAATGCTTAGCCATTATGCAGAACTCTACAGGACCCCAATCCTCAGATTCATAGCAAGTCCCAAGCGCTGCTTTGTACAGCTTTACACCAAAACCATCTCATCAATTCCAAACAAGTATGTATAATCACAGAGAACAAAACAGCTATATCAACACTAAGGCAACAACATCGAAGTATCAGGGCAAAAGAAAAAGGGCTAACCTTAGCTGTGTCAGTCAGAAGTTCGGTACCGGCAGGGTAAGATGCATAAAACTGATCGCCCCTGGAGAATCCTGCTCTTGTTCTACAAAACATTCGAATCTGTATATTAAAATCAAACAAGACCTGACGCAAGAGAAGAACCCAGACAAAGCTGAGCAAAAAAAAAGAGACCAAATTAAGAAAATTGAGATCCGAGGCTAAACTTTGAAATAATTATTACGTGTTGTTTGTATAGAAGAATGTGAGGGCGGCAGTGAAGCAGTAGAATCCAGCGTAAGAGACAACCCGTCGTAGCTTCTGGATCTTTAGAATCTCTGCGCAAACATCCAAGATCATCATCTTTACTCTTGATTATCCAAACTCACTCAAACCGAGTAAGAATTGAAAAAACTGTGGAAACTCTCTCAGGTATTAGATCGAACACCTTGTGATCACTTTACCAGATATAGGCAAGCATTACAAATTAAGAACCTCTCGCGAAAGTTGCAGTGGCGAAGCAAACTGGTATCAATAAGGCCTCGGTGGGCCTAGCTGCGCTTTTATATTGGGCCTATATTCCTATATTTACAACATAGAAAATATTGAAGAGTATCCAAAATTAAAATTTTATTCATGATTTATGCAATTCAGGTATAATTTTATTCATGTTTATGCAATTTTAGGTTGGTGGAAACCACGTGGTTGATCAAAAAAAAAAAAAACCAAAATAATGTTTAGCCACGTTACATTGGTTACAAGACAAACATAGTAGTAGTACAGTAAGTTATCGAGGTCAAATAATACAAAGCGATCTTTATGTAAAGCCACGAGCCAGTGGCGATAATGAAGCACGTCCCTACAGTCATTTTCTTCCTCTCCACTCTCCTCATCGCCGTGTCCGTCGAGCCTCCTCCGCCGCCGCTTTTTCCCGATGAAGCTTTGCCCACTAGATCCGGCTACCTTCCGGTTAAACCCGCCCCAGGCTCCTCCATGTTCTATGCCTTCTACGAAGCCCAGAAGCCAACCACTCCTCTTGCCGACACTCCACTCCTCATTTGGCTCCAAGGTGGGCCAGGCTGCTCTTCCATGATTGGCAACTTCTACGAGCTCGGCCCTTGGCGAGTGGTTTCACGCGCCACCGAACTCGAGCGCAACCCCGGTGCCTGGAACCGCCTCTTCGGGCTACTCTTTGTGGATAACCCCATAGGAGCCGGATTTAGCATCGCCGCTTCAGAACAAGACATACCAAGAAATCAGAGACAAGTGGCAGAGCACATGTACGCAGCGCTGGAGGAGTTCATTGAGCAGAACCCAGGTTTTGAGCACCGACCGGTCTACTTCACTGGCGAGAGCTACGCCGGGAAGTATGTTCCGGCCATTGGATACTATATCCTAAAAGAGAAACCCAATGGGAAGGTGAATCTAAAGGGCCTGGCCATTGGAAACGGGCTTACCGACCCGGTGATCCAAATCCGGACCCATGCGGTCAACGTTTATTACTCGGGTCTGGTCAACGCAAAACAGAGAGAGGAGCTGGAGAAAGCTCAAGAGATGTGCGTGGCTCTCGTAAAGTCCCAGAAATGGCGTGAAGCAACAGACGCAAGAACTGACCTGTTGACGCTACTGGCCAATATGACTGGACTCGCGACGCTCTACAACACGGCACGGACGATTCCGTACAGGACGGACCTCGTGGTGGAGCTTCTGAACCAGAGAGAGGCGAAACAGGTTCTTGGAGTGAGCGAAACGATGCGTTTTGAGGATTGCAGTGATGAAGTGGACGATGTTCTATGGGAGGACGTGATGAAGAGCGTGAAGTTCATGGTGGAGTATGTGGTGGAAAGAACCAAGGTGTTGCTGTACCAAGGTATGCTGGATCTCAGAGACGGCGTCGTTTCTACGGAGGAGTGGATGAAGACTATGAATTGGTCGGGGATTGAGATGTTCTTGACGGCAGAGAGGCGGGTTTGGAAGGACGGCGACGGCGATGTCGCCGGGTATGTCCAGAGGTGGAGGAATTTAACCCACGTGGCGGTTGCGGAAGCTGGGCATTTTGTTCCGACAGACAAAGCTGTTAATTCAAGGGATATGATCGAAGGATGGGTTTTGGAAGAAGACCTGTTCGGTGATGGAAATGTAAAGCAGACAGTTTCGTTAAGCTTAAGAGAATCTTCGTCAGATAGATTCCAGAACTTAGTAGAAGATCAATAATAAAATTCTGAAATTGTACTAGTTGGTTGTGCGTCACTGAATAAGAGTCTGTTTCGATTTGAGATTTGGTTATACGTCAGCTGATAAATTTGTTCCCAAATCCAACCAAGTAAAGTTGCGTTTTGTGTCAATGAATATAAGAGTTTTATAATTTGAATTTTGGTTGCACGGCAAATGAATGAATCTGTTCTCAAATTCAATTAAGAATGAATTGGTAAATATTCGATGTAATTTTTGCTCATTGGTTTGACATGTGACTGTTTTCTTAAACTTACTCAAAATTTTTGATTGAGATTGATTGTAAAGAAAAGTAAAATATATAAAATTTCATAGATTGAAAAAACATGTACTGGCGATTGGAGGCGGGATTGTGATTGAGAGTCAAAATGAAGAGTAGAAAATACCCAACACAATGAACGCACAGAGAAACCCGTACTATGAAGCCATTTTTGTTTTAGGGAAGAAGAGGAAGGGCACCCCGTAGAAAACCTACAGGTATTTTAGAGCTATCAATCAAATCTCTCCCCTTTCATTAGCCTCTTTTCCCGATTCATACTTGTCAGAAAAACATTCATGCAAACAGAAAAAAACAAATGATTACGAAAAAACCAACTCTTCAGCCTAATCGCTAAAAGAAGATCGAAACCAATACCACTGTAACCGGAAACCTAAAGACGGCTCTGCTTCAAATCTGTGAAACTCGTAGCTTTATAGTGCGGGACAGTTAGGGCTGACGATTGTCGCTTAAGTCGGGCTTACATCAAATTGGGTTTAGAGCTAAGCCCATTGGGTTTCAGTATTAAATCCGCGTCCATCATTTGGTTGACCTACACGCTCATCCCCCTCACCATTATTGTTTCTTAAATAAATGGATCTTCTTATAAACTATGAAATAAAACCCATGATTAAATTAATCACAGGGGCATCGTCTCGTACGTTTTTTTGGTTGTAAAAAAAACTAAAATACATAAACAAATCAGAGGTCAATGGATACAAAATACAATTATTGGTTGATGCCAATTATGGAGAGAGTGCAATGTAATTGACATATTAAATAATTTATCGACATGAACTCCGATCATCTTTTTCATCGGAGCTTCAAGTGTTTTGTTTTAATGTACATAGTCTGAAACGTCCGTGTCGACAGATTTGTGAAAGACGTGTAGCTGAAATTGAGAAGAAACAAAGGTGAAATTGGAAGGAACGTGTGAGAGTGATGTGTGGTCCCATCAATGCTACGAGAAGGCAACGCGCTAATCATTTTTTCTTTTTATCTTTTAAAGCCAAAACAACTTTAGCCAAATAAAATACTGATTCGCTTATAAATAAGATATAACCATCGATCAACTTGTTGTCCCCTGATCAACAAGAAAAATGGAAGCCACACTCATCTCGTCGTCGCCACTCAGATTCCATCCATTGATGACGTCACAAAGGATCGCCACCGGAACCAAGAGAAGAAAACAAACCACCGTGTGTGGTGGCTACTACTACAGAGGAGGAAGAGTGGTGGATGAGAACATGGTGGTCCTTAGGAAACGGATCCATGAGATGAAGATGGTTGAGAGAAACTATGAACCTCCTTCCCATTGGATGCACTGGGAGAAGAGTTTCTATTGCAACTACGACGCTACTATCTGTGACGCTCTCTCTCTTCTCCAAACTTTCCTCATGAACTCTCGTCCCAGCGTTGCGTTTGGAACGCTTCTTCTTCTCCTCCTCAGCGTTCCCGTCTCCACTGCTGTCATTGCGTTTCGCATCTTTGACATCGCTCTTTGGCTTCTGGATGCCAGTCACGTAGGATGATCACATTTTACCTTAATGTGTTATGTTTTTCTCATAAGTAGTCGTTTCTTTTCCTAAGATAACAAAGGATTATGTTTAAAAGACTCCTTATTTGATATGGTTTGGGAAAACATATCTGCTTTATGACTGGAACAGAGAGGCGTCCGGTTTTATATCTGCTTTCGTTTCTTCCATTAAGACATGTATAGACAGTCTTTCAAATTAGATTATGTAGGTGGAAGTGTAACACGACAGAGACGTGTACGTTCGGATGTTGGCTTTGCAAAACGCGTAGAAGTGGGAGATACGATAAATTCGGGTTTTTGTCTTGTCTTCTTCATTTTTTCCACCAAAAGAAAACATCTCTTCTCCACCATCCAAAACCATTTAAGAAGCTTGTTGTATATTAAGCTCTTTGTCCAAAAAGACAATAACGAAAGGCGGTGGATTCAATGGAATTAAAAAGAAGGGGAGCTATTCTTTTTTGACATCTATAAACTAATAAAAGGTTGTCTTGTATATTCCAAAACTGAAGAGAAGAATCTATACAATCTGTAAGAGGAGAAGAGAGAAAAGGGACCTGAAGCAGGGGACTTTGGCATCTCAACGTCTTTGTATCGGTTGTCTGTAAGTTACAACAAAAACAAAGCTCAACTTTAGTTCCAGCGAACTCCTCTGCCTTGAATGTTAGAACATATGAGCTTTTTCTTCTTTAAATGAATTCATCTCTCCTTTTCCCTTTCGCTTTCACTGTTACTGAACGTATTCATAACCATATAGTTACTACTATATCTCTTCAGATAGTGCGGGTTGTGGTAATACTTCCGGTTCTTCTGCTGTGTCCTCCAGTAGCAGGCGAGCGCCCCGAACGCGCAGCTTGCAAGTGCTATGGCCAGTGCAGCTCCTACTGGCACAACCAGAGCGTTGGTGGGCACCGCCATTTCTTCTGCAGCTGCAACCACCTCCTCCTTGCTCGCACTGTCACCATCTTTCTTGTAAGAGGACACCAGTTTCTGCCCGTAGTACTTCTTCAAGAATTTGTAGACTTCATCGTGATCCCAGTCAATGGTTTTCTCGGTGCTCGAAAGATGACACGACGGGCAAAGCTGCTTCGGTGGCCATGTCATCTTTGGGAACTTGGGGTCTCCTGTTCCAAGAGAAGCTTCGTCCTTCTTCAGTCTCTCATTGACCTTGTTGTGTGTGCTCCACAGCCACAAGACGATATCACGTGACTTTTTAAACGGAGTTTTCACGCTGTCAGTGAAACACATAAAAGCTGTTAGATTGAGAAAGGATGCGAGATAATCGAGCTTTGTTAGCCAATCCTGGGATCTCTCTGTACCTTAAGCACATGTCGTGAAAATGCCGGCGGCATTCGTCACACATGAAGAAGTTGTTGATGAAATCACAAATGGTTGTGAATGCAAACTGACTCTCTCCGTCCTCAATCCTCACGGAAAGTGAATGCATCAAGATCCATAATCCGCAGCTGCAGTCAGAAAAAAGAGTTGAAATACTCTCGGCTTGAATCGAAAGATCCTATCACCATAATACTAAATAATCTGACAAAGGAACAAATTTTGCAAAACACTACCTGAATCCCCTAGTTTCGTTCTTGCTGCCACGGCAAAAAATCTGCCAATATGAATATGCATATAAAATGGGAGAATCAGATTTTTCACTGCGTTTGGAAAATAGTAAAGCAAGTTGTTGGGCGCACTCACGTAATATCCACGTGGAACATCCTTTCCACAAATATGGAAGTTTCGTAGGGTAGTAGCGTTCACTGCAGAATCCTGGTCATAAGAACATTCGCCTGACGGACACATATCACCGAAGTTCACGAGAATTTCAGCGCTTCCTTTACGACACCTATAGAAATTTCGAAACAGTTAAATTAGGCATGACAGAAAAGAAAGAGCGGTAAAACGTGAAAGGGAAAGATGAAGATGAGATTCTACCTTCTTGAAGGATGGTGTGCCACTAAAAGCTGCAGAAACCTAATGAACGAAACTCCGGTTTCAGATGACTTGATTGCCTGTGGCCATGAGCACTACTCGTCAACAAGGCTGAAAGAGGATTTCGTTACATACAACAACAAAAAAAATCAAAAGAAATTTCTCTACCTTATGTGCCAAAATGATATCAAAAGCTTCTTCAGTTGCCTCCTCAATGTCATGTACGGCATGAGAAATCTGTAATAAATCAACAACCAGCTCTACTTAGTCTTTTGTCATCAAACCAAATGCCACCATTTCAGCAAAGTGGGGGCAGAACAAATTCTGACAAACCTGTTCGTGGTCAGATATATTTGGCAGGAGATGCTCATTTCCAAATTTCTGATCATCCAAGCCGTAAGAGCTGCACAACATTGACAAGAACAACAAATTTAAGTGCGAATGTTACCCAAATTTCATATTGTTTTTTTGCCAACACAGAGAAAAAAAATAGATTGCTGATATGAACTTCAACGTAATGGTAGACATGAAATTTATAGTGCCTCCCATACCTGCCTATCTTCTTGTTGATCCAGTTCAACAAAAGATCAGCAGTGCGCCATTCATCGACTACGCTGATCTCGTTTTGCTCTTGTTTAGGTCCCCAGCTACCACCAACGAACTTACTGGGACGGCCCCAAAAGAGCATCGGATAATGATTGATGGAGAACTTGTCACAGAGCTTGACATTCATCTGCGCTGCCAGAAAAGTCGTAAGGAAAACAATTAGAATGAAAGTAAGGAAAACAAATTAAGTGACTGATACACTGTAGTTGTCTCTATAAATCAGAGAAGATGGGGGGCAAGTACCTTTATTGCACAATCAACTCTAGCCATCAAAACGACACCAGGATGTATTGCCTCTGCTCCATTGAAGAGCCTTGCTACTTTTTCATAATGCGGCTGCAGAGTAACCAGGGAGCATTGAATACAGAACAGTATTTAACAAGACAAAAAGGCATTGAATTAACGACATTTGAATGACATTGTTTACCTTGTAGTTTCTACATGCAGGACACCTTGAATCATCAATGTCCCCAGACAGAAATTATGGTCAATGTCAGAACCGCACATTATACAAAGCCTTTCGGATTCATACACTCATTTTTAAAATACTTCTTTGTCAGAATGTGATTAACATTTCCAAACGAATTCCGCTCAAGATCCAGTATTAGTTAACAAATCAATGAGTGGGAATTGTTTTTTTTTTTTTTTTTTTTTGAAGGCAAGAGAAAACTGACCAGTGAGCGAAGAACTCCAAAACGGCATATTTGGCGGGGGAATCTTGGAAGACTGAATCAAAGTTGGTAGCGTTCAATTCGACGGCGTTGTCTTTCTGATCGGCGATGTCGCTGCCGATGTCCCGGAGAATCGAGCGCGATCCCGGGGAAAACGACGCAGCAGCTTCAAGGCTCACCAAACCCGCGAACAAGAACAAGTGTATCAAAGACATCAAATCCAATAGAGGACAACAAATGGTAACCTGATCCGAAAGCTCGGGGGTTTTACAGAGGGAAGATCTAAGAGAAACAAAAGCTTCCCTCCTTCCGTTGAGAAACGAAGGTCTCTCTGGTTGTACAACGACGTCGTTTATCCCTTTGACCGGCGTCGATAGTTGTTCTCCGACTCCTGTTCTTACACTCCAATCTTAATGGGCTTCACTAATACAGTTGGGCCGATGGAAAGTGGGTGATAAATATACTTGCATCGATAGTCAATATTCAACCAACAACAAATTTCTTTCCAAATGAGTGTAAACGTTTTGTGATAACGGACAAAATTAATGGATTGTTTTATCGGACATATCTGCTATTCGTATGATTTTCGTCTTAACAATTATGAAATAAATTTTTCAGATGAGGTTGGTCCATGTATGAAAACAAAAGGGCCGGAGAATGACGTAGAGAAAAGAGATCAGCGCGTTACATCGGACGATTGTTGTCTACGCGCCGCTGAGCTAGAAGACAAAAAGTGACTGAGCAAACGGGTGAGTCAGCATAATCTTGGAAAATCGACAAAGTGACTCCAACCACAAGTCAACACCATCTGTCTTAGTCACAAGGTCACACAACCACACTCAACACACCTCACACATTAGCATATCCTTTATATTATTGCCACTTCTCTTGCATTATCAATTGTTTTTTACTTCCTTTTTTCTCAAGGGCAAAAAAAAGTGACGTTAAAATGTATCGGTCATGTGCACATACATCCGCTACGTCTAATAATATTCATCATTTATAAAAATAACATAAACTGCAATAACGGGGTCCACGTGCATGAATTAATTTTCTGATATATTTGCACTTGTCTCAAATATTGAATTTTCTGAGTTGTTTGAGACTTTGAGTATTATAATTGAGAACCATTTAAGTAATACTGTTTTCAAGTCCCGATATTCTCCACCTTAATACCTTTTTTATGAACTATACAAATCAAAAATGATGAAATACTTACAGTCGTTCTTTAGTTTTGTCAAGTCTACGAAAAGAGCATTTGAAAAGTCTAATTTAAAATATGCCAATATGCTATTTCTTCGGCTCATTTGTTATATATACCCCTTTTTTTTTGGTCCAAATATACCCCAGTTATTATGCGAATTCCCCAACTTCTTTCTTTTTTTTTGTTTTAAAATCATAACATAACCCAATAATACAGTAATTCATTGTAGCTTCATTTAATTATTAAGAATTTTAGTTTGTTAGGGAAATCACTGAAAATTGTATTCTAACAAGAAAGAAACAACTAAAAAAAATCTTACAGTGTTTGGGTGTATTACTTGACGACGGAGAAGAGCGGGGCAAAACATAACTACTCATCTAGCAAAAGGGTCTAATTATGCAAAAACATAAAATTGGAGGTGCGTTCTTTTATTTACTCTCTGTCTCTCTCACTTCTATGAATCAAAATCTTCTTTCTCCTCATTTGCTTCAATCGTTTGAAACTCTGAAATTCTCAGTTTCCATCCCCATTTCTCTAGCCTCTCTTCCTCCTCGCTGCATTCCTTTTTTTTCCCCGATTCGGACGCTAATCTTAGCCAGCTTTGTGAGAACTTCGATTTCGGAAATCTCAAGTCTCAACAAATTTCGTCCTGCTTCGTTCGATTTCCCTCTTCCCAGAATCTCCGATTCGACCTTTCATTCTAAGCTGCTTCTTAATCGCGTCGTACAAATTACTCATCTTTATATACGCGTATACAAACTTTTTCTGGTGAGTCGAGTACGAGTAGTGGGAGGAGTGTTGCTGTCGTTTAATCGACGACGAAATCGGAAGCGGCTTTTGGTCGTTTGATTCCGTTCATCTTCTTTGTTGTGTCTGAGTGAAGAAGAGATGTTGGGGTCTGGCTTTAAGTTGAATCAGCTGCAGAGAGCTCAGAGCAGATCGATTCAAACCAAGGAGCACGAGAAAGGGTCTGCATTGCAGAAACTCCAAGCTCCTGCCGCCGCTTCGTCTTCAAGTAACGTGGAGCGGTTTTTGGAGTCGGTCACACCATCTGTGCCTGCCCACTATTTATCCAAGGTTCGTTTCAACTTTCAAACATGTCAAGTGAAATATCTAACTTGTCAAAGCCCGATCCTTGTTTATCTGCGCTTGGTAAATACGAAAACTTTATCACCTAATCGAGTGTGAAAAAACTGTGTGCAGACGACGGTAAGGGAAAGGAGAGGCAGTGATGTTGATTTGCAGGCTCCTTACTTTGTTCTTGGCGATGTATGGGAATCGTTTGCAGAGTGGAGTGCTTACGGCACTGGAGTTCCTCTCGCTTTGAATAACAGCAACTACAAGGATCGTGTCTTTCAATACTATGTCCCTTCTCTGTCGGCCATTCAAATCTATGCTGATTCTGATGCCTTAAGCTCATCTCTTCATGCAAGGTCCTTCATTTTCATCCTGTATCTGCGATTAGATAAAGTGTTCAAGCTTTGTCTGTTCATTAAGCTCATGAACCTGTGCCCTTTAGTCTAAAAGCTCAAGTCTTTGAATGAGAAATTTGGTAGTGTTATATGTATCAATGTGTATATTTCTTCTACTGCAGGAGGCCAGGTGAGGAGAGCGACAGCGATTTCAAAGATTCAAGCAGTGAGGGAAGCAGCAGCGAATCCGAAAGAGGACTCTCTTATCCTAAAGAGCAGATCTCTTCTAGAATGGACCAACTCTCATTAAGAAAGGAGCATCAGGAAGACTCGTCTAGTGATGATGGCGAGCCTTCTTTAAGCTCTCAAGGTCGTTTGATATTTGAGTACCTTGAACGAGATCTTCCCTACATCCGTGAACCCTTTGCCGACAAGGTTTGTCCATTTTTAACTTTGAATATATCAAGTAAGCAACGCATATACAAAACTTATTAGAAACCATAAGGTTTCATGAAACAGGTTCAGTGTATTTAGACTAATAACTTAATTAAACTTCTCACATTTTGAAATAAATTTTGTATGCGGCTACACGGAAGTTACATATTGAAAGATGTAGTTATGGATACTTTGAGCTTCTTTTGTAAGTTTTTTTCTGTCATCAGATAAGTTTATCTTATAAAAGCAAACATTTGAAGTAACATCAACGATATGTTTATGAAACTCATGCTCTTAGTCAAACCCAGCAACTCTTCCAACTAGTATATATTCCAAAGCATCCATTTAGGACTATCAACTTACTATGAAATGTTCAACTACTGAGTCTAGCAACTTCTCCGATTCTCAAATAGACCATTTTATGATAATAGGAAAATGCAATTCCACGAACTTTCTTATTCAACTGTTACCATTGCAGATGTCTGACCTTGCCTCTAGATTTCCCGAGCTGAAGACGCTGAGAAGCTGTGATCTACTACCTTCAAGCTGGTTTTCTGTGGCATGGTATTGTTCTTTGCACCATGCGCACGTTATTTCTGCCACAGTGCCCCCTCGTGTCTCTTAAAATCGATTACTATACTTTGTAGGTACCCAATTTACAAAATACCCACGGGACCAACGCTCAAGGATCTGGATGCTTGTTTCTTGACGTATCATTCCCTTCACACACCCTTTCAAGGTAATCACTGGTGTTGAGCATTATTTCTAGTTCAAACAATTTTTAGGTGAATCAACCAGCAATACGTTTAATTATGGGTCATATGTTCTGAGAAAAAGCAACTCTTGGGTAAAGATTCATCCACTATCTATCTTCTGGCTCTTGTATGTCCAGGGGTTACAACAGAGTCTATGTGTGCGGTGCAGCCAAGGGAGAATGTTGCGAAGACGGCACTGCCTGTCTTTGGCCTTGCCTCATACAAGTTAAGAGGTTCTGTATGGACAAGCATCAAGGGCTCTGGTCACCAGCTTGTGAATTCCCTATTCCAAGCTGCAGACAGTTGGCTGAGGTTGCATCAAGTCAACCATCCTGATTTCATCTTCTTCTCCCGGTGAAGATTATGATTATACACTATGATGACGAAAAAAGATGTAGGAAGTCACTCAAAAGGAAACTCTTTATAATTACTGTCCTGATGAACCCCATTTATACATCATACATATAGGGAGCATTTTTTTTTTTTTTATGTTTTGGGTTTGATCATCAAACTTTGATGCGAACCCTGCTCAAGTTGTAATGTACACACAACATGAGAATACTTCTTATGTCGTAACATGTTTTTGCAATAAAAAAACAAGCTAATAGTTGAGGAAAGAGGAGGACTCAATGATCCTATCTGCAGGTTCTAGCAGCTTCCTATTGATGGCATCGGAGCAAAGACGAGCCATCATACGATGGAAGGAAAGCAGGTCAGATAGACGCTCTGCTGACAATTTGTCCATTGCTCTCTCTTGCTCCTCTTTCCTTTTCATCCTTTTCATATACACACACGAGTTCCTCACCGTCGCTCCCATCTGCTTCAGCCTATTCTCTTGTTGCTTGCTTAGAACCGTGTTCGCCTGCAGAATGCTTCAACATGTCAGAAAAATCCAATCTTAGATGGCCAATCAATATATAAACAAACGAAAGCTGACCTCTTGAAACTCGGATACCGAGAAGCTTTTGACGAGCGTCATCTTCTTCCTCACCATCTCTGTTGCGTTTACTTGTTTCTTTTGAAATGCGGTGACAGCTTTCACAAACTCCTGATAAGCATAAGCGCATCCAGGATAATCAAACTCGTCGGAGCCAGAGAGCCTCATCCTCTCGGGATGGAACTGCAAACCCATCAAGAACTGACCTTCCTCTGGATCATATCGATTCGGATCGTAGAACCCTTCGACCAAACCATCAGGAGCGTACGCCATGGGCACAAAACGCTGTGCCAATCTCTTCACACCTTGATGGTGATACGAGTTCACCATTATCTCCATCTCGTCGAACCACTTGTGCAACGGCGTCTCTCCCACGACACTGACCGCGTGCCTGTGCTCATCGTAGTTGTCGTAGTCTATATGTTTCGTCGTGGTTCCGATTTCCTTGTCGATGTCTTGATAGAGAGTTCCTCCGGCGGCGACGTTGAGAATCTGAGAGCCACGACAAATGCCTAAGAAAGGAATGTTTCTATCGAGACAGAGTCTGGCCAGAGTCAGCTCGATGCTGTCTTTCTCTCGGTCGATGGTCGTGTCTCCTGCGTGCAATCTCCTGATCTCCTCCATGTCCTCCTGCGAGAGTCCCGGGAGTTCAGCGCCGGCGTAGAGAGAAGGGTCGACGTCTTCTCCTTCGCAGAGGAGGACGCCATGGATGGGCTCGAAGCTCTGGAGCAGAGAGTGGATCCCGACGACACGTGGCACGATGACAGGGACGGCGCCGTACGAGACGATGAGATCGAGATGGTACTCTCCTACGAAGTCCACGAATTTGTTCTTGCGTAGAGTCCGGCGAGAGACGATGAGAACTCTGGGGAGAATCTTGGAGGAGAGATCATTAGCGACCACCATTTCTAATTAATTTGTTTATGGTCTTAAATCTCTTTGTTATTTGCATGTTTATGTGTTAATTCTCATTCTTATTTATAGATTGCAAAGAGGCGTCGAGACGCAGCGTAAATGCAATGTACACACACACAAGCTGACGCACACTCCTCCGTTCTGTCACCTCATCATTTTTATCTGTACGTTTTCGGTCAAAGCTTTACGATTAGATAATGACGTGGACTTTTCTGGATATTCCAAATTGTCGCACATTTTAATTAGGTTGAATTAGGAAAAAACGTTGCCGTTTGTATATCCTGGTAATAAATTATGGGGTTTCAGGGTTTTTGGAGAATTAGATATGAATGAATGGATGAGTCATTGACCTGTAACAATATTAGGCAGGCATAATAATAATATATCTGTCTTAATTGTTTATATATGCATGTATTCTGTATGGGAAAGTGTTGAATTAAGTTATGGAAACCATGTTCTACGTTATTTTTATTTAATAAAAACCAGCCTCATCTTGTTAGTTAGGCTTCAGTCATTCATACGTGTAAGAAGATAAGTAGATAACGTCGTAGACTTCCAACAAATCCGTCTTAATTAGGAAAATATTAAGAAGAAGAGATACTCTCCATTGTTGACTTAGTTATAAAGCTCACCCTTAATATACAGCTTAGACTGTTAAGTAATTAGACAAGACCTGCAATTCAATCTTATTTGCGGATGATAAAACTTTTCAACGAGCTATTGCTTTTTCAGCTCTCTGAAAATTAAATCTTTTCCAAACATATATATGTCATGGTTCATAATTTGGACACAATATAAATATCTACTCTCTCCTTAAAAAATATGATGTTTTAGTTTGTTTATATAAATTAAGAAAGAATTATTTTTTAATTATTAACTTATTAATGCATTATTTTTTACAATCATTATTTCTTAATAACTATTAATCAATAGTAATTTAAGAATTTAAATAGTTTTAGATATTTTTTCAAAATCTATAAAAAATATTTAATTCTCTAAAACATCAATCTTTATGAAACAAATAAAAAATCTAAAACATCATATATTTAGAAATGAATGGAATAAATTTAATAGCTTTAGATATATTTTTCAAACTGCTCAAACATATAACACCATAATATAATACTTTATTATTCAATATACACTTTTGTTTGGTTTTGATACCGATGCAAAATTCATGAATCAGTGACAGAAAGAAGCCAATTTAGAGCAACTCCTAAGATATTCGTTTGAATATCTGAACTAATATAATATTAATAATTTTTTGTATAATTTTATTTTTTAATTAATTAATAAGTTAAAAAAAAATTAACCAATCACAAAGAAGCAAATGTTCAAAGAGAGTATCTTAAATTTTTTATCTGAGAGCCTCATCTCTCATTCTCTCATTCTTTTCTATTATTTTACTATTTTAAAAGTTAAAATATTCTCTTAGAGAGCTTACGGCCTAGAGTTAAAATCTACAATAGAGCCTCAACCTCTTTTTGGTATGACGATTGGACTCCTTTGGCTAAACTAATTAATCTTGTGGGTATAAGGGGATGCACAGATCTGGGAATTCCCATTCACTCGACAGTGGAAAGTGTGCTATCTACTCATCGACGACGTCAGCATCGAATTGAAGCTCTTAATAATATCGAGGAAGCCATTGAAACTCACCGCAGGTGAGGAATCCCACAACAGCCCGATGTGGTTTTATGGAGACAAAAAGGAGACAAATTCAAACGTAAATTTAATTCCAAAGCTATGTGGGAACTAATCCGTGAAGTGAAACCTATATGTGAATGGTATAAAAGCATATGGTACCCGTACTCAACCCCCAAGTTCTCCTTTGTATCATGGCTTGCTATTCATAATCGTTTGTCAACTGGAGATAGAACGCTCAGCTGGAACATTGGCGCAACAGGTTCTTGTGTGTTCTGTGGGAATCTGGAGAGTCGGAATCATCTATTCTTCAGCTGCAAATACTGGAGGTTTGGGCTGGTCTAACCAGTAAGCTTCTTGGTGTCAAATATACGACACAATGGGAGGTAATCATCGACCTCCTGACTGAACCAGAGCAAGACATGATCTCTTTATTTTTGTTGCGATATGTCTTTCAAGCAACCATTCACAGTATTTGGAGAGAAGGAAATGGAAGAAAGCACGGAGACTCTCCCACACCTTCGGTTCGTCTGAAGCAACACATCGACAAACAAGTTCGTAATAGATTAACATCTATACGAAACTTGGGAGATTCGAGATACGAAGATGGAATGCAAACGTGGTTTGCTAATCTTTAATTTTTTGTAATGCGTAGCTTTTAGAAAATCTCCAAAATTTCAGAACAAGACGCATTTATTGTAAACAAGGTTTTTGGATTGAATAAAATTTTACATTCATTCAAAAAAAAAAAAATACTCTCTTAACAAACTCCAATGGGAGGTGGTCTTAGAAATTAAAACAAAGAGTGAAGAGAGAGAAGAAGCTTCAAAGTTTTTGAGCTTAAAAGGGAAGTAGAGAATCGTTTCTTCTTGTGATTCTCAGCCGCTCCACGCTTTCCACCAACTCCCTGCCATATTACAATCTCAACCCATGAAAACGCTTCATTTCAGTAATTTACAACTTCTCTTGTATAAAAATGTCTTCAGAGCTTACTTCCATGGAACATCCTCAGCATTCCTCCAAGTACCTTCTCTGTCTCTGTAGACCAAAGAGAACTCCGACTCTGCCTCGAACAACCTCAATCCTGATACACTCTGCATCCCTGCAAATTGTAATCAAATTGACCATTTATATCTCATCCGGCACAAGCCTATTAGGAACATTACAACTAAAGAAACTGTCACTTGAATCTAGCTCTGCATTACTATGTATGTGAGAAACAGAGGGTTAAAGCTTCCCATCAAAACCTTACCAAACATGTTCTCCAGTTGATGAGCAAGAGTTGAATAGCCTCCATGATCAAGAACACAGACCTTGCGACCTACCACAAACCCATCCATGGTGACCTTTACATAACCCCAATTCCCTCTGCCTATATTACTCCAGTATTCTTCACCACATTTCCCATCTCCAGTTTCGTGACTCTTCAGCAGAAAATTGCCAGGACCTATTCATACAAATAAAAAGACTAGTATGTTGCTTGCTGTGAAAGTGAAGAAGATAATTGTCTATGATTCATGCGTAAATGAAGTAGGAGTTCGAGAGAGAATGATCATACTAAACAGCTCACGTCGTTTCAGAGTTGAGAACATCTACCAAAGGAAACATTTTATTCACGTAGCGCAAAAAGCAACTTACCACGTTGATTATATGTTAGCTGTAAGGTAATGGAATTACTAACGGAAGAAATAAAGAAGCTCACTTTGGCCAGATGTGTGGTAAGTCTCATGTTGTATGGTACTAAGGCTGAGACCTAAATCGATTACGCCGCCACACTCCATGGTCTGAGAGTAATATGGATGATACTTGAAAGAACTTGGGAAAACACCCGATGGGTCTAAGTCCATTGTTGCTTTCTATAAAAAAAAATGGATTTTAAGTACAGATCAGTAAAAGAAATGGAATAAAAACGAGGGAGATGAATGATGTTGATTTATAGCTAGTAGCTAAGGCTGAGTGTGTGAGGAGAGTTAAGAGACATAATTGCAGACAGGGAAGAGACAAAAGACAAGAGCCCATTACCAATCACGCAAGGGTCAGTTTGTGGTCTTTTTGTTGTTTCTTCTAGTGACACCAAGTGCAGTGGATGGATGTCATCAAAAGTTCAGATTTTTATAACCCATACATTGCTGCAGTGTTTCTGGCCAGCCACCACAAAAACCTGAAATCTTCAGTGTGATCCAAACCAGGATTGTCCTACTAATCACAGCAGACAAGTCTCCATATCTAATGAACTGTCTCCTTGACATCAGAGAGTGTTGCCAACTCAATATCCCAAAATCCAAACCTGTAATCACTCAACATCAAACATGTCACAGAAGAAACAGATAAAAACTGTGCTCAAGGACTCATGCAAAAGAGATAATCCAACGAATTAAAGTGTGGACGGAGAAAGAGAAGAATTCGGTATGGTCTTACATGATGGTAGAATGACAATATCTCTCAAGAGAGAGAGAGCTCTGTTGTTAATTACTAGGACAATTCAGTTTTGTCATTACATCATGTCTCCCCACACCTTACAGAGAAGTAGGGCTGTGTGGTTGGTAAATCCAAGACAGAAAACTTACACATGAATTCATGTCTGTACGATTGCCTTCATAGATAACTAAGCGATACAATGGAACACACCAATTCTTTGAAAGATTCAATTTTCAATTAAACGGCTCGGCGCCACAACAAAACAAAGGGAAATCATCACAGTAAACATGAGTTTCCAGTATTTCATTCTGTGCTTTTCCTAATTTACAGGTGTATGACTTGAAAAATTGCCTCCTAAGAAAATGTACAGTTTACTAAATGTACACGTCTTAAACGGAAATGACATCCTTATTAACAGGCGCTTTCTGATACACACACTTGTTAGCGCAACGTCTACATGCATATAGCATTCCAGGAACAGAAGAGAAGCCCACGAAGTTTCACTTATGCAGAATCGTGGTGGCTAAGGAATTCAGTTATGCAAGGATAGACTTGCTCCACTGCCTGCAGTAAGATCATCAGAGACACGACTGAGACAGGAAACAAGCTCGCACATAATATGGCATTAATTGACCAAAGTCCTAACATGGGAGGACCTAGAGATGCAACATACCAGTCGTCCTCCAACCAGATCGTAGTGTGCATAATGTGGTCCGTCTGGTTCTCCAAGTAACTTGTAAGTCACCAGGTTCTCGGGAAACAGCTTAACAGTGTCTGCCATCGTTACAAGCAATTGTAATGGTAAACTTTCAGAAATCTATTGTATAGCTGTTCATATATGCAAAAATTTATAATAGATATCAATCCAGTATTATACCCTCTACAGCTACAGGAGGACAGATCAAGTCCCGATCACCTGCAAGAGCTAAGACAGGGACACTGGTACTGGAAAGATGATCCTTGTAAAAAAATTCACCACTACGATCACGTAAGCCTCCCTCACGAAAGGCTGTAGTCAGCTGAATAAGAAGTTTTGCAGGTATGGTACCTAAAGGTTGCCAAAACAGAAAAACCCTTTAATATCACCATAAACGAAGCAAGAAATAGAGGAAGCTACTATCACTTGCATAACCATCACATGGCAATACATCAAGGCATCTTCGACATTTTATTTCTCTTATGGTGGATGCGCATTTCTTTTCCACTTAAACCACATTCAGAACTGGGACCGAATATCTGTACTTACAGAAGTTATTCAAGACAAGTTTTTCTAACTGTTCAGGGTGCATCATATCCGCAGCTGATATCAAATCATTAAGCCAAGATAAAACATATGGAGGGCGCGTTGAAAGAGGAAAAGCTGCAGCCAACAGAGCACCCAAAGGAACAACTGGAACATTCAGAGCTTGTGCAGGATCAGCCTGTAGCAGAAGTTTCCAGTAAGTCTACCGCAGAAGAACTTAGTAACGCACCAGTTCTTACAGAAGAATCCAACTCAAAGCGATAAAACCTGAATTTACGTACAAGAGGTATGAGCAATTTGAGGGCAGAGTCTGAAGTTGTGTAATCAACCGATGAAGCCAAAGTTGCCACAGCTGCTAGGCCAGGTTCTCGTCCCTCAAAAGCTAACGAAATGGAATAGAAGGAATGAGTAACGGCCTAAACTTATGAGCCTCTGTTTTCAAGAAAATGAGATCTAATGAAAAACCCACTATCAAGATGAATTATAACTTACCGCAACGTGACAGCATTGCATAGAGTAGGATACCTCCCATGGAGTGCCCAATTGCAAATAGCTTACCGTCCTTGGGCTTGCTTTGAGCTCTCACATACTCAATCTACGGTAAACCAAAATAAAAAAACAGAACCACCAGTTCAGTAACAAACCCGGACACGGCTACGTGAATTATTAGCAAAGATCAACGCAGCCTCACCGCAGCAGGGACATCCTCTTCCAGGTAGTTATCGAAATCCCAGTCATATTTAACGATCAAATCCAGTTGCTTCTGAAAGTCTTCAATGGTCGTAGTGAGGCGCTCGTGTAAATCAAACAACTGAGGCGAGACAGACTTTTGACCATCGTCGAAAAGATTCACAAGGCCCTGGGTCAGTTCTCTGATCTGGTTCCCAAGTCCTGAGTTTTGCCTTGACTCGATCAAACTCAAAAGCTTTGATCTTATCTCATTAAAACGCTCGTACAGCTGAGAATCTTGTAAAAGCATAGCGATTTTGTCAAATAACTTAGCAGACATGAACACCGACTGACCTTCGCTGAGAAAGCCAGAGAGCCTTTCTGACAAACGCATAAACGTCGCTGTCAGTCTCGCCACGAGCTGCGACTCGTCCCAAGCAGAGGCTTCGCCGACAACTGAAACATCCGGAGCTGGTGCAGTTCCCACAATATCAGTAGCCTGCTTTTCAGCGGAAGAAGCTTCTTTAGCTGCAGCTTTAGCAGTAGATTCTATCTGCTGGGACAATTCGTGAGCAGAATCCTGAACATCCTTGAGATCGGATACTCTTGTACTCAACCCGGCTCCACGAACCTCGAGAATCCACGTCTCAAATCCTTCGCCAGACATGTGTCTTGCGAAAGAGCACTGCAATTACATCAACCGTATTAGGAAAGCGTGAATCGGAGATTTTCTTGAACTTGAGGGCGTTTGGTCAAAGATAATCTATTTCCTCATGGAAAGGTAAATCATGTCCTTAGCTTGAATGTAGAACAGATTCACAATAAAACGTAAGAGAAATGAAAGCAAACGTACACCGGGAGATAAATCGTATCCGATGGCATTAGTTCCAACTCCAGACAACAGCAAGAGCGGGTGATTCCTCGTCGGGGCCTGAAGAGAAGAGAGTTCTTGATCACAATTCACAAAAAAAAAAACAGAAAGATTGTTAGATGCAGAGAGAAGGGTGGTTGGTGAATCGGAAACCTGAGGGGAAGGCAAGTAACGCCAGAGAGCGAGGCGCCAATCGCTGTTGGGTACGGAGACGTAATGAAGCTCGTCTGCGGTGCAAAGCGAAGGTTTCGTGGGAAGTTTAACAGTGGAGGAGAAGGCCCTCGGTCGAAACACCGTCGTGCGGTGACGGAACGAAGGAGTGGCGGTGACGATTGGGCGGAAGAAATAGACGGTGGAGGAAGCCCAGCGAAGAGCCGAGCGGATCTCCAAAGGAAACTGGGGAGGGATCGTCGCCATCACAGTCTGACAGATTTGGAAAATGGTGGCTCGGTTCACTCGGAAACTTTAATGATCTTTCTCGTCGCCGGTACACGTGGAGAGACGACCGGTGATGACTGATGAAGATTTGACTTTCTTTCTTTTTTTCTCTTGACCGCGAATAATTATTGGGCCCTCCAAATTGCAAAACCCAATTTCACAAATAAATAGTGCTTTAGGGCCTTTGGGGAAACAAAGATGTAGTGTAAATGAATTAAAGAATTGTGTCGATTTCTGTATTTTGATTTTGAATTTTTAAAAAGATAAAGTTTATAAAAAAAATATATAAAGAATAAAAAATTCCGTAAATTAGTAAGCTTTTCAGCGAGACTTATATTATTTATAATTATCAACTTAATTTTAATCTAAAACTTAATATATACCAAACCTGATTACATGAAAAACACCTGATATATAAGATATTTGATGTGAAACTAAAATTTTAAGATAAACAAAACAAAAAAAAAACTTTACAAAACTCAACATGATTGGATTAAATTCAATTATCTGGTTAATAGATTAAACTGGGTAGTCTCTATTATTATTTCTGAAAAGAAAACAAACAAACAAAAAAAGCCATAAAGCTAACGCGGAGGCAGCTTTTTCTTTATGGACCAAAACGTACTTTTATCTTTCCTTTCCTTTGAATTTTCCGGAAGAACTCCAAAGAGATTTTCCGTTTCCCGCTAACCCAATTCACAGCGTGTAGAGACGCTTTCCCGTGCGTTTCCGGCGTCGGACCTCCGGTTATCACCTCTACCGCCAAAGGTACACTCATTGTCTCTTTATCACCGATGGGTTTTCTGAGGTTTCCTCGTGTTTATGTTTGTGATTGTGTTCAACTGCTCGATTGAGTTCGAGCAAATTCCCATTTTTTTTGTAGCAAAGTATTTCCTAAATTAGTAAGCTTTTCAGCGAGACCCTAGTTTCGAACCTATTTTCATGGAACAATGTATGTATGCCTCTCTTGTGGATTTATAGGTAAGCAATGCCCGAAATTCAGTTGGGTGCGCATACGATAAGATCCCATGGAGTCACTGTGGCGAGGTTCCACATGCATGACTGGCTTATTCTTCTGCTGCTTATCGTCATCGAAATTGTTCTGAATGTCATCGAACCCTTTCACCGTTTTGTTGGAGAGGATATGCTCACTGACCTCACATACCCTCTGCAAGACAATACCGTTCCTTTCTGGGCTGTCCCGGTAAATATAGTTTTTTGAATTTTTATGAATTCTATTATTCAAGATTGTCACTCTTTGACCTCCGACTCTAATTCCTCTGTTCTTTGTAAGTGACAGTTGATAGCAGTTGTGCTCCCCTTTGCCGTCATTTCTGTTTACTACTTTATCAGAAGAGATGTGTATGACCTTCACCATGCAATATTAGGTACCTCTTTCTTCTTCCTACGGTGCTTTTGGATGATTCAACTTCTTTGCAGCTCTTGATACTGAGGTGTGTTCTTGATTGATTCTTCAGGTCTTTTGTTCTCTGTACTCATAACCGGTGTCATAACCGACGCTATAAAGGACGCTGTAGGTAGACCTCGTCCTGACTTCTTCTGGCGTTGTTTCCCTGATGGTAGAGGGGTAAGCAGCTTCATCTTCTTCCTTACTCTTATAACAACACTGTGGATAATCTCTAACCAGCTGATTGAAGCTGTGATTAGTTCTTTCACAATGTCACGAGGAATGTTCTGTGTACTGGAGATAAGAGCGTGGTCAAAGAGGGACACAAGAGCTTCCCCAGCGGGCACACTTCTTGTAAGTGGGTTATCTTTGGGCTTGTTATGCCATGAGATGACTCTATCCTGTAGTAGAATTGCACGTTGCAGATCCTAAGACTTGGTTATGTAAAACCTGCAGGGTCGTTCGCTGGTCTAGGCTTTCTAGCGTTGTACTTGTCTGGAAAAGTCAGGGTGTTTGACCGGAGAGGGCATGTTGCGAAGCTCTGCATTGTGATCTTACCTCTACTGGTTGCAGCATTGGTCGGTGTATCCCGAGTTGATGACTATTGGCATCACTGGCAAGATGTGTTTGGAGGAGCTATCATAGGTTTGTTTTTGAATAACACATGCCCTCAACACATAATACGAGAAACAAAACAAAAAAAACTGATGGAGATCGCATGTTTCTTGCAATGTCCCAGGATTAACGGTGTCCTCCTTTTGCTATCTGCAATTTTTCCCTCCTCCGTATGATCCAGACGGTGTGTGACTTTGGACCCTCTTCTCTTATTTCGATTATTTTAGTAACGAAAACTAATCTCTCTCTATGGATTGTTTACAGGTTGGGGCCCTCATGCATACTTCCAGATGCTTGCAGATTCGAGAAACGATGTCCAAAATTCAGCAGGGATGAATCATCTAAGCGTGAGGCAAGCGGAGCTGGAGAACGTGTACGTTGACCAACAAGAGACTTCCATGGAAATATCAAGAAGCAACACGAGGGACACCACACGAATGCTAGAGAGCCGTTAACTGAACAAACTGTCTTGTAGTCTTTGGTGTGTGCTTCAGTTGATATTTATTGGGCTGGCCACTAACTAAAAGCCCATATAGATCGCACTTAAAAGAGAAACAGACTCGTCGTACCTATTAAATGGCTAGTAGTTGGAAGACCATTGGGCTACACAGAGACCCAAAAACCTTAAATGGTAAAATCAAAACGACAAGTTGTATGCGTATCACACAACACATAATTTTTTTGTATCCATAAACGTTTTATAATGGAGTACTTTATAAGATTTGAGAAAGTGATACGTAGATATTTATTTTTTCTTTTGTTCAATCAACCCTACTGTTATTTTCTTCTTGTCAAACGGTAATGCCGCGAAAGGGATATTTGTGGGGTTCGAGGCCCATGCGCCCCTAACGAAATCACCCCCCCGGGCCGTTTGGCCATTTCCTTAATTTCAGGATATCGTTATTTTCTTATTTCAACAATTCACATCCTTTTTTCCCCTTCGAGTATCCAATGATTGCTTTAATATGTACTATATTTAATGGCCGTTTTAACGAGCAAACAGTAAAAAATACGAGTCCTTTTGTTTAGGCTTTTGATGACTTTGTCCAATATGTCTTGGATTCCTCTCAAAAGTCATTCTTTTCACCCTCTTTTACCTTTACCTTTGTTGAATTCTGCAAAATATGCAACTACTTTACTACATATAAAACTCTTTGGAAATTGAATAATTAACATATTTTAATTCTAATTAACATATATACATTGGAGTATTAGTTATTTATCTAATTAACCTGTACTGATTCTAATTGTTGTGTTGATCATTCTTGTATTATTAAATGTTAAGGACACTCGGTAACAATCCAATGAGTATACTGAGAAGCTGTTGTTCCTTTTCATACTTGAAATTTCCTTTTCGTCTTCTGATGGAAATAATCACGTTCATATATACATGTAAAGACCACTTATTATGCCTGACTGTTGTCAACATTTTGAAAATTCACAGAGTAATACTTTTCTGTATGATTATGGCTTAAATCAAGCCCTTTGACTTCCATTACATTTACACACGGGCCTCCTACTAATAGGAGTTGTGTTGTGTTGTATATGCTCATATATTCCATTTACAATTATTTAGATCATTTAGAGTAATAACACGTTAGTATATGACAAAAAGAAAAGAAGATCAACACAAATAAAAGGAAGACAAATGAATGACGCAGACAGTGGCGTTGTGATGATGTAATACAGTCTAATCTGAGTAGTGCGGTGTGTTGGACGGTCAAGATCGAAGGAGGGCGTACGATTGGTCCCACTTACGGTGTAAAATGGGAATATTACGTAAGAGTGGAGGGTCAACGTAAATAGATATAAAGGTGTTACCTTTTTGTCTATTTAGTCACTAAAGAGTAAAGATGTTTGACAAAAACTGAAAAAAGTTTTACGACACGATGAAATCGAGACCCACCTCTGACTACACCATATGCACGTCTTCTCTTCTGTTTTGGTTTCTTGTATCTTGATTGCTTTTCAAAAATGTAGGTGTGATTAATCACAATGAGAAAGGCTACCAGAACATGAGTTTAATTCTTTAAACCTTGAGATAGTTAGTGAAGTGAATCTAGTTAATAGATCAGCTCTGCATATCGGTGGAATTAAAACGGCTTGGGATTTGGAAGATGGATATATGTGCATTGGGCGATGAATGAGTATCACAAATAGCACACAAAAACACACATATGTGTGTGTACAACGTACGGCGACATGATGACCAAATGAGGAAGGCCCATTTATTTGTCTGCTTATAACCTAACATCCAAATCTATCTTCATTGCTCTCCACATTACGAAAAAATTATGTAAGTATTGATTAGTACATATTGTAATGATGGAATAATCAAATAGCAAAGACGTTCGAAGTGAATTTTTGTGTTCATAAATAATCATGAAATGCTATTAAATTATATTTTGTAGATTAGTAAAATTTCTTTTTTTCTGTATTTGTGGTGATACGGATCTTCTAATACAGTGGAATACTTAAAAAAAAATGCTATGAATTTTTTTTATAGAATCAATAGAATTGCGTTTTTAAAATATATAAAAAGTGAGTAATGTTATAGCATTCAAAACCGTCTTGCTATGTAATAAACGTATGTTCTAATTAGTATAGACTAGAGTATAGACAAGAAAAAATAAATACACCAGCTTCACATTTGGTATAGTGAGTGTGAAGACTGAGGAAAAGAAGGAAGGTGCACAACACTCAAGGCCAAGACTATTCCACTATCTCTCCGTCTACGTGCCTTTCTATGCATCCTTCCTGATAAGTATTTCACTAATTAACCTATATTAATTCTCATTTTCTATACTAGGGATGTTTCCGCGCTACGCGCAGACTGTTTTTATATAGATATTTGATTATTATTTAAGTTTTATTATTTTCACTTTAAGTTAATATTTTAAATATAATATTTAATTTTTAAAAAATTTTTGATATGATTATACATCGAAAATATTTTAACATATACAAAAAATGTATAATTTTAAGAATTAGCTACTTGATATGCTAAAATTAACTGTTAATCTAAAACTTAATATTTATATATAAACTCACTGTTATTCACTATTAACTTTCAAAATATTATTAAAATTATTTTTGTTTTGACTAAATTTGATTATTATTGTTCTAATTAATTTAGATTTTTATTTTTATTTCAACTGTGTTCGTGTAGTGTTTTTATTTAATTAGCAATCTCAAATACAAACAACACTCAATATTTTAATCTCTTATAAATCTATAAAATAACTATGATTCATATAAATAAAAACAATATTTACATAGTATAAAAAATCACAATCATATTGATAAAATGCAATTTTGATTTGGTCTATGAAGTATACGTAAACTATAAAAAAAATATAGATGAATAAGGTAAATAATACATATACAAATACAATTTCATACTAACTCATTATGTTAAATAAAATATGTTGAGTTTCTCAAAACTCAAAAGATGTAAAACATTTTGCTTGTAATTTAACTTAAACATTTTTTTCTTAAACTACACATATATATTTTGATGAGCCTTTATAATTAAACTAATAATATATATTATATTATTTTTAAAGGAGTTTCTTAACCCAGTAAAAAAACTATATTAGTTTTCATTCAAGTTGGGTTTATAAGGAATTTTGTTGATGTGGATAATTAAAGATTTTTTTATAACATTTTCTTCTACATTAAAATGTGTATGTATTTTTTCAAAAATGCATAATTATTTAATTTAAGAATTTATTAACTTGATATATATAAAAATTAACTGTCATTTAAAACTTAATTTTTGTTTATAAACTGTTTAACTCATGTGTTGACATGTATCGCTTGTAGTAACTTGACTACCTTAAGCCAACTAAAACACACATTGAATAAATATCAGTGCATGAAATTCTTCTTTTGTCTATCATTTTCTGCAATGTAAATAGTAACAATGATCGAAATCTTCATATAGATAGATGTTTTGAAAAGCTTCCTATAATTTATGTTGTCTTGTTGGTTGTCATAAATCTAACGTACTATGATGTTTAATCTGTATGTTTCTAAAAGTTGAATGTTTTAGATTTTTATAATTTACAAATATTTTAAATTTTATTTTAGAAATTATTATTTTGTAATTTTGTTTCTATTAACTATTATTTAAGTTTTTTAGAGCAATTTGTTGTCCAATATATTCACTATAGTACAAAAAGGAGTATATATTAATGCTACAGATTTAAATGATATTTATTTTACTGATTTAGAAAATGATATTTAGTTTTATTTAATTATTCCTAATAAGTATATTAACTTAGTAGTTCTATTTATTTATTTTATGTGTATTTCAAAAGATATAAAGTGAATTTTTTTATTATTTTTATATTGCAAAAAAAAGAAGTATATATTGATGCTATAAATTTAAATGATGTTTATTTTACTGATTCAATAAATGATATTTTAATTTTATTTATTTTTGTTGGTAACTATATTAATTTTAGTGACAAAAATGAGTATATATTAATGCTACAGATTTAAATGATATTTATTTTACTGATTAAAATGATATATAGTTTTATTTAGTTTTTGCTAATAACTATATTAATTTAATGGTTTTATTTATTTATTTTATGTGTATTTCAAAAAATCTAAAGTGAGAATTTTCATTAATGTTAATTTGTTATATTACAAACAAAAGAGTATATATTGATGCTATAGATTTAAATAATATTTATTTTACTGATTCAAAAAATAATAATTTATTTTTATTTACTCTTGTATTTAACTATATTAATTTTGGTTCTATTTATTTACTTTATGTGTATTCCAAAAAAATCTAAAGTGGGAATTTGTATTATTATTTTTTGCTGATGTGTCATACTTTTAGAGTAGTTTGAAAAACTGAAATGGATAGCTTAAGGAGCCCCAAATAGTTCCTTTTATTTAGTATACTAGGGATGTTTCCGCGCTACGCGCGGATTGTTTTTATATAGATATTTAATTATTATTTAAGTTAAATTATTTTCACTTTAAATTAATATTTTAAATATAATATTTAATTTTTAAAATTGTTTTGATATGATTATACATCAAAAATATTTTAACGTATTCAAAAAATGTATCATGATATAATTTTAAGAATTACCTACTTGATATATGCTAAAATTAACTGTTAATCTAAAACTTAATATTTGTATATAAACTCACTGTTATTCACTACTAACTTTCAAAATATCATTAAAATTATTTTTGTTTTGATTAAATTTGATTATTATTGTTTCAATTAATTTAGATTTTTATTTTTATTTCAACTGTGTTCGTATAGTGTTTTTATTTAATTAGCAATCTCAAATACAAACAACACTCAATGTTCTAATCTCTTATAAATCTATAAAATAACTATGATTCATATAAATAAATATAATATTTACATAGTATAAAAAATCACAATCATATTGATAAAATGCAATTTTGATTTGGTTTATGA